GGGCTCTTGGAGTTCTTATATATGAGATGGCTGCTGGTTACCCTCCTTTTTTTGCCGATCAGCCCATACAGATTTATGAAAAGATTGTGTCTGGCAAGGTAAGAAAAAATAGTTAATTTTGTTAGAATATGGGAGTTTATTCTCTTACATGGTTTTCTGTTGGCTCTTCTCATTTATAACTTATTTTAAATATATCTTAGACTCGTGTAATCTGAAAATCATAAATTAAAATGTGTTTTGGTTATATACCAATAGCATATTTCCTCACTCAACTTCATATTGCTCTGTTGCAATATTAATTTTTTGAATGTGTCAGTGTAATAAACTGCAGTTAAATTTCAATGTAGTTTTGCTAATCAGTTATTAGGACCTATTTCATGCTTCATGCTGACAGTTTACCTTAGTCTGTGGGGCTAAAAGACATAAACTTTAAAATAATGATTAAGAAAAAGACATTGAAAGTTTCCAAAATTAGTGTGATTTTTTTTTGTCTTTTTGTTTGTTTAAACATTTAATGATTTATTTGTTTTTAGAAGGTACCAATACATTAACATAAATACTGACTGGAAAATAGAGTTCTTCTATTTTTGAGTGAATACAACAATCTGTGGTGTTTGTGGCTCCATGCGTAAAGTCGTAATCTAGCAAGAGTTTTCCCCAGTTTCCCCTCGTCATGGGAAAGGCACTAAAGTCAAAGTTGTCTTCTGATCTGTTCTTTAACGTCTGTGTTATAGGATTGGGTGATTGTGGCTACTAATGGTAAAGATGTGTCCAAACCAATAAGTGGCCCAGTCAAAATCCATATTCATATCAAACTGTGACGTGATATGACCTGAAACGGGACAAAATTTAACCACAGCAATGTCCTGTTGCTAAAAACGCCTAACAGTAGTCCTGCTTTTGGTTCATTTTAATGAACTGTTGCCCCCAAAAAGAAAAATGTTTTTCAAATTTGCTTTTAACTGCAATTATTCACATGAAAAATGATGTTAATTTTTCTGAAATATGTAAGCTTAGGAGACATTTATAAGAAAGAAAATAGATGTTGCCGGCACTAGAATTTAGTTTGTCTGGAAGTTTTATAATTTGTTGGTTTATGGCATTTTAGCTCTTTGATGAGACAGAAACATATATATATTTCTATGTCAATTTCTTCTTTTGATCAGAACACGTTACTTCTTGCCTTGTAGGTGCGATTTCCATCTCACTTTAGCTCCGACTTGAAGGACTTGCTGAGGAACCTGCTCCAGGTGGATCTGACAAAGAGATTCGGCAACCTAAAGAACGGTGTAAACGACATAAAGAACCATAAGTGGTTCTCTTCAACAGACTGGATAGCCATCTATGAGCGAAAGGTATTTCCTTTTCCTCAAACACTTACATGTCTTTCATTCCACGCTGTCAGACTTTGCCCTATGTTGGCACTTTTTCAAACTTTGTTTCAGGTTGAAGCTCCGTTTTTGCCGAAGTGCAGAGGACCCGGAGACACAAGCAACTTTGACGATTATGAAGAAGAGGACATCCGCGTCTCGCAAACAGAAAAGTGTGCAAAAGAGTTTGCTGACTTTTAGCCAAGGCCTGAGCGGTTCCTGCGGCTTTGGGATATTTGCACTCTGGTGAGAGATATAAGGTGGAACTGAGGCCATCCCGTGCTCCTAACAATCGCCTCGTTCCTTCATTCCACACTGCTCAAATGAGGTCCTTTTTGCCATGCCCCCTGGTGCTGTTGGCATTGATCTACACACAGGCAAATTCTGCAGACACCTTCATGTGCTGCAACGAAGTACTAGACCACATTGTCATAGTTTTTTTGTTTTATCCTTTAATCTTGACTCTCCTTGTGTAAAGTTTGAATGTGAAAAGGAACATGCGAAATGACTTACTCCCTTTTTAATGAGGTACAGAGAGTAGTAGTATTACCTGTTGTTGCAAATGGTATTGAAGGAGTTTTTTTTTTTACTTTTTATCTGTTTTTATTTTTTGTTGTCTTTTACAATCCTCATTGTGATTTTTAGGGAAGGGGTATGGATGAGTTTTGATCCATTTCAAAATAATTTGGCTTCCTCAAGACCTGGAAAGGAGTTTTTATTTAGACTTAAAAAAGTGAGACATCCTTTATTTATTTTCTTTTTAAAGCATGACCACGTTTTTAACAGATGCAGTTCATTTTTAGATTAAAAAACAGATGCATTTTTTTCCCCCGCTCAGTTCTTAAAGAAAATAATTACTAGTAACAAACGGCATCAGGATGCAGAAACATGTCAGCTAAAACATTTGTAGCATGATTTATTCATATCTAATCACAGAACATTTCCTTTTTACCTCAGTCTTTTGATGGAGAGAAATTCTATATTTTCTAGGTACAAGTATATTTCACAAGAAGTGAACCTGAAGATGTTTGCGTTCTGTCTGTGCACACAGTTCGTATGTTTGTGGTACGTTTAAAAGTATGTCCAGAAATGCACTAGCATGGCTTTTTTTTTTTTTTCCAATAGCTTAAAGGTCAGTTTGTTACATTATCTGAAGGGTAGGAAGCAGCGGTGTTCATATGGGGTGACCTTTGCCCCCTTTACGTTGCGTTTTGATTTTTTTTTGACAGCTGTGTCTCAGATTGTGATATTTTCTTTTTTTTTTTTTTTCTTTTTAATTTTTTACTTTTGCATGTGAATGTTTTCGTAGCAGCCTCACTGGAAGCTAAAAGCAGTATCCCAACTCTTTCTTTTGCAACCTTGGAAATGTGTCGCAGCATGAAATGTGAAAGCAGGAGATGTCTTGATCTATGTAACGCAAATGCCATAAAAAAGAAAAGAAAAAAAAACGTTGCCTAATCACGTAGCTGCAATAACAGAAATATAAATTATGGATTTAACTTGGTTACAGCTTGGCCAGTGAATCTTTAGTTACGCATTTATAGCTTGTAGTCTTTACACTGTTTCCTAACTGAATTAAACAAGGTGTACCTATTCAGAAAGTATGAAATGGGTATGGAGGAAAATGTTACATTTCCAAAGGGAATAAGGTCAATATCTCCTTTTTTTATTTAAGCTACTTCATGAAATGTGTTTGTTTTTTTTGTTTTTTTTTCCATGAGAAAATATTACGTCTGTATCATATTCCTCTAATTTATGGCGTATTTTATTGCTAAAATGTATCCCCTGACTTCACATTCCCTTCTCCAGCATGACAATATATTGGATCTGAAAACTATACATTAATTGTCATGACCTACATTTAGATGGCTTTTGTTTATTTCATATTGCAGTTAAAGTTCCTCTTTTACAAAATCCCTGAGTACTTATAAAATAGCCTTTCTCTACCCATAGAGAAGTTTGTATAATTAAACCACAGGCTGAAACCTCAGGGTTCAGGAGAAATCAAAGTATTCAAAAATGACAGTCTTTCAAAACCCAGCTCTTGATTTTACACATAATGGGGAATAAAAAACAGTTTCAATCAATTTTAATATTCTGCTGCAACAAAATACAAGAGTTTGCTTCTTTTTTTTTATTTTGTCTGGATTGGAACATTTTATCTAAGCACATGTGCATTTTATATGATTTAATTTAAGAAGGCACAACTTTTTCCTCATTCTTTTTATTTATACATAAAAGTCTAATAAAATAACATTTATATGTCTCGGTATATGTGAAGAGACTTGAGATATGAAGTGTTACAAACACAGAAATTGTAAGAAAATATCTTGTTTGATTTTGTTTCTTTGTCACGTTTATATTTGACGCATATTGTCCCCTCTAAAGCCTACTGAAATCTATCCTTTATTTTTCAAAGGACGCCTAAATTTTATTTTTATGCCAATTTGAAGGGTAAACTAGGGCAGAGGATTAGGCCCACTGAAAAAAGAAAAAAAATTAATTGATTTTTAAATTTTATTTCAGTATTAGAAAAAAGTCAGAATTCTGACTTTAATCTCAGAATTCTGGCTTTTTTCTCAGAATTCTGACTTTTTTCTCAGAATTCTGACTTTAATCTCAGAATTATGGATCTTAATGTAGATGGGCATCATGAAGGAAGAGATGTGGGAGCACTCAGCTTCACTGACAAACATTTGAGTTGTTTGAGAGGGCCAGTAACACATTGGTGGAAAATAACTCAATTAGGCAACTTTTTACGTGCCTGGGGGGTCCCCGGTGATGCTATATCATTAATGGAGGAGCAGAAGGTGATTAACACAAGAGAGCTAGTCTTTAAAACAGACATGGCTACGGCTTGATGCTAACATGTTTATCAGCTGTCAGAATTCTGAGTAAAAAGGCAGGATTCTGAGATTAAAGTAAGAATTCTGAGGAAAAAAGTCAGAATTCTGAGAAAAAAGTCAGAATTCTGGAAAAGAAAAGTCATAATTCTGAGATTAAAGTCAGAATTCTGACTTTTTTTCCCATATTAAACTGAAATAATATTTAAAAATCTGTTAACTTTTTTTTTCAGTGGCCCTAATCCTCTTCCATAGTAAACAGTTGGTAAGGCTCAAAACATGTGCAATGTTTTTGACTCCTGGCCCACAAGCATGTCTCTGTCCAAACTGCCTGTGTGTAAATCCTGAAAAACAAATGTTTAGTCTTTTTCCAGCTCTTCTGTATCATCTGTTCTACCCTCCCTTGTGTGTGATGTTTGTTGAAATTTGATGTAAAACGACGGCACCTTTACCTGAGCCATTTCACACTCTTCCTGACTGAAGGAAATCAGTTCAATCAGTTCTTGTAGCTAGTCACACGTGCCAGTATGGGAATCAAATAATCTGAAATGTGTCTGTAATTTAGTTTGTGGATATTTTTGCACATCATTTAGAAAGCTGACACATTATTTTTCCCAATCATATTTACTTGTGTTCGCAAGGGAAGTACACTTTGCTGTAGCAGATTTTAAGTAACAAAGGATATGTCATTATAATAAATTCTTTTTATTAAACTATAAGTGTTTGTGTGTTTTCTGTTGGGAGCCGTTTAAGTGCTGCTGAACTACATTACCCATAAACCCCCCCAACGTTGTGGGCGAAGGAAACGAAAGCGAGGAAGCTTGTTGGCTTACTTGAATATAATTTGATTTTATCAAATAAAACCCGTTGCTAATTGTACAGCAAAAAATCCCAAATATTAATGAAACTTTTTATTTGCAGAATTGTGGCTTGTAGACTCGAACGAGCCGCTGTTATCAGGCCAGAATCTCCCCAAAAGATAAGGTAACTGTTAAATTTCGTATTAGCAAACGAGGCTAACTATCCCTTTTAGCTTAACGTTAGCGTTAATACAAAACACCGATAGGTTGCCGTTAAACGTCTGCCTGTCGTTCGACGGTCGATTTCCCCCCCCCATTTTTTATGTTTAATTTATATTTTTTTCGACCGAATCATCGTCGTTGTGTATTCAGTTTTTCATTTCAATATTTGTTCTGCTTTTAATTTCGCTAACAGCGTGAGTTTTACGTCGTAATTTTTTTAAACATCTCATTTTGTACTTGTTTCGTGTGAAAATTGACAGTTTTAGTTAAAGAAGCTGCTTTTTTCACCATTTTGCTGCTGTGCCTTTCCAGCGGAGACATCCACTGAATGTCAGAAAGACAAACGATGATGGTGATTGAACTGCCTACACACTGAAGACATCTAATGAAAAATTACTGCAACCTAACAGCATGTAAGACTCTTCTTTTATTCAAATGTTGGGAAATTAAACTTGAAAACCACTTGATAAACTATAAGCTGACATATTAAAGCATAATGTGGGTATTAAGTCCTGTTTAAAATCAATTATAATATCATAATAAAAGATGTGAAATAAAAAGGCCCCTATGTAAATCACTTTTAATAGTTTAGCACCAGAGCAACAATCCTATTATGTTATCAGAATCAATTATTACATTTTTAACATATTTGTTTTACATTTGCATGCCTCTGATGACAAGTTTTTCCATTTTATATTCTTTTTTTGTTGTTTTATTGAGATTTTTTACCCTAAAGGTAGAAAATAACTACCTGCTTTTATATTTGTCTGGTCCTGTAGGTCTGATGGACTTTATCCCACAAACAAAGTTGGGCTGAATGTGCTGCAGATATTTTTAATTGTTCTACTTTTGAGTGAAAAAGGAGGAGAAAAATGAGACATGTCTTGTTCATTTCTGTTCTTCATAAATTCTTTGTAAATGTGTTGTTTTTATGTGATGCTGCACCGGAAATATTCATTTCCTGCTAGTTAATGAATTTAATCTCATTAGCAGGTAAAAATCAGGTAAAAACTTAAACCATTCATTATTCAGTCATTATAACTTGTATAATTACATTTTCTTATCTGACATACAGTTAATGGTCTTCTGTTTTCAACCGATTAGCTGATACAGGATAGTAATTTTAAACACCAAAAATGGTGTATTAGAGTGTTATTAGCATATTATTATACAGTCATTTGAAAGCAGAAGTCGTTAAACTCATGCATTTGTGCCATTTTGTTAACTTTTTCAAACAGAATTGCAAACTTAAACCTATTTTAAAAGTCCAAATAAATGTATGTTTGATTACTAAATGTTATCAGAACTTTGGATTTTCCATTGATCATATAGGCGTTCTATGCAGTGATTTCTTTGTTTTTGTTTTTGTTGACAAATGTTTGACTAAAAAATAATCATGTTTTTTTGATCAGCTGTTAATTATAGAAAAAAGACAACCGCTTGAAACTGCTTGTGAACTAAACAAGTTATTTTATCTTAACTTAACTGATTCTGTAAGATTGTAAAACTAACTGTTTATGTTAATATTATTTTATTCAACAGCCGGTATGGAGGACAAGGCAAATGGCTCTGTTGACACCAAAAGGTATAATTTAAAACTAGAGTAGGAGTCTTATGTACCTGTTTAATTTCCAGTTTTTCTTTCTGCTGTTACACTATAATCTGAGTGGATTAACTTTATTCCCACAGCCCAGTGGAGAATGGTCAGCTGCCCGACCCTTCCAACTGGGGAGTTGCTGATGTCGTCAATTATTTCAAAGCAACAGGGTTTGAAGAACAAGCTACAGCTTTCCAAGATCAGGTTTGTGTGATATTTTTAGTTTTTTTTTTTTTTTTTTTATCCTACTTGTTGTCCAAACAGGTGTTGAAATAATTATACCAAAAAGTTGTCTCTGACAGGAAATTGACGGCAAGTCTTTGCTCCTGATGACGCGAAACGACGTCCTAACGGGGCTGTCGATAAAACTCGGCCCGGCGCTGAAAATCTACGAATACCATGTGAAGCCGCTGCAGACTCAGCACCTGAAGAGCAACGCGTCATAGCACGGCCAGCTCACCCCGCCACGCACCTCAGTGACAATCATCATGTCAGGAGACTCCAGGTTAGCTGCGGCTTCACAAAAACAGGGTGTCAACAGCGGCACCTTAACCAGATTTGAATGCTGTATGTTCGGTTTTTTTCTTGTTGTTCTTGTTTTCTTTTTTTTAATAAGCGTGGATCCCAAAAAAAAAACTGTTCTGCACAATTCGTCCACCCAGCTGTTTACCCTTTTAGCCATTCATATTTCTGCTGCTTAAATATGTATTTTTTGTGTGTTTTATTTAAATAAATGAGATTTAGGGAGTATTCTAAAGATGCGTGTGTGTGAGTGTGAAAAGTTAATTAACCTATAATGTTTTTTTTTTTTTTTTTAAGTATTTGTATATAAGATAATATATAGTTAAAAATGACGTATGTAATATCTCAACACCTTTATACCTGCAGACACTTATGATGCCTCCATATGTCCCTGAATTGACTCTGTGTTTAAACCTGCATATCTGAGTCCATGACTTGTCCTGAGCATGTAACAATGAAGCATTTAGTTTTCCAGCCTTTTACCTAAAGCTTCTTTGTTTCTGTACATCAACATTATTTAGACTTACGGCTCTTGATAGAATCTTTCTGTATATATTCTTATTATGTACCTACCTTTGGTGCTTTCAGCTTTGTCACACAGACGGCTGTATTGAAGTGTTTTTGACCCATCTTTAAGTGTAACAGAACACTGGAGTTTGAGTTTCTTGAGTCTAAAACTGATGATAAATGGTGCTTTTTTTCTGAGCAAAGTAACTTTACTTTCTGGACTGTATTCATTTATTTTGCACTACGCATCATTCGTTGGGAGCCTGTTATTCCCTTAATGGCAGAACTTACCATGCTAAATCAGTTTGTCAACATTAGCTTTCTTTAAAAAATTCACTCTTGTTCAGGAATCAATTTTTTTGGCTTCATACAATAAGGTGAGCAGCAAGGGAAGGTGAAACTAAAAATGAGTTTTAACAATGAGACCAAATAATGAGATGTGAAGTGTTATTTTCTAGCAAGAATGTTTTTTTTTTTTTTTTAGACATAATTTATTTCATATAGCTTACATGTATAGCTGTATTTTGTACCCAGAATGGAACAATAACATCCTTTGACACAGTAGAAAAGCTTCACCCTGTTTGGTTTTACACATTAAAACGGAGAAGAATCACTTGCTCTTCTTTGCTGATTCTAAAGTTATTTTTTGAAGTTAGACCTCAGGTGTACAAAGCAGTTTGATCCTTATTTCTTCAAATTAAAGTGAAAATAAAAAAGTTTGGGAACATCTTAATGACATTTCTGCTCCTTTGTCAAGATGCAGCCAGGTGCTATCAGTGAAACGTGTTTACTTATTAGAGTTTGCTGGCTTCTATGATTATGTCTCTACAGTAAAAAATGTATTACGCTGAAACAAACTTGCAGCTGCACTTAAGCTCAGTTTTCTGAAAACAATTCAGCACCTATCCAATTGGTGGCTCTCTCCAGATCAATTTGTGGTTTAGAGCACTGATGTTTTCAGTACATAGAAGCCTTTCCTCCTAAGGGGGTTTCACCCTACAATTAATATATGTATATATATATATATATATATATATATAGAGAGAGAGAGAGAGATATTAGGGTTGCATCCAATCATTATTTTGCAAATAGATTGATCTGTTGATAAATTTTTTGATTGATAATTGGATAGCCAAAGATTCTTTAAAGAGGAATTTTTACGAAATTAACAGCGGAAAATCAAACCTTTCCACTTGAGGTCTTCTGGATAGAGCATATTGACAAAAAATTTTTAAATCTTAAATGCAAAATGTATATATATTTATAATCTTGGTATAATTACTGCTCTAAGTGGGCTGCTTTGTCATCTAAAGGCATGTTTTACAGTCAAAACTCCAGTTGACGATTAATCGATAACTAAATTAGATTATTTCAATAATAGATAAATCATGATCAATCCGATTGTTTCTCCCCTTATATAAATATATATATACACACATTTTTGTTTTACAATCAGAAAATAATTTTGTTTCATTAATTGCCCCCTTCCCTCAAAAAAAAAATAATTGCACATGCTATAGCAAGGTCAGAAGAGTATAAAAAATAAAAACTTGAAAAGTTCAAATAATTTTTTTTTTTATGTAAATGTGATTGACTTGAACAAAAACAAAACTAAGCATTAACTGCTTGTTTGAGAGAGTTGTAGGGGAAAATGTGAGCTTGGTTAAGACGTGGGAAGGTTCATCTAAAGAACCCCAATACTTTATGTCAGCAAATACTAAATTATTAGTTTGGCTACAATATACATTACTATGTTAGAAAATAACATAATCAGATCATATTAGCAAACACCACTTTACAACATTAGGCAAGATTGTAGGATTGGTTGGTTTAGGCTCAATTCCTCTACGTAGAAATGCATTCTTATGTTATAGTGTGAGTCTGTCTAACAGCTGGAAATATGTCAAAGTTGTCAGTCGTCACTGATACTGAAATCTACAAAACTCAGAATAGCTGGATAGAGAATAATCAAGATCGTTTACCAACTCAGTCTAATTCCAGACCTTATTCTGTTTCTGATGCTGGCGTGTGACATCATAGAAGGTGATTAAAAAATGCTTTTGCAAACCTAAATAATGCAAAGTAATGACAAGTATACCTCTGCACACAGATGGTAGAAACTAATAGAGATGTTCCTAAATATTTTTTAAAACATAGCTTTAGATTTATATTCTTAAGAGGCAGTTATTAAATCCTGATTATACCAAAAATGAAGCCTGTGACCCACTGACAGATGATTAAAGACCCCCGGGGTCGTCATGAGGCAAACATTAACATAATCCTTCAGAGAAAGGGAACAATGACACTGTAGGTTCCCTGGTAAAAATAAACTATGTGCTTTTCTGTCAGTACCAATCACAGGATATGCTAATATTTGTATACATGCATTGTTTGATATTTTGGAACAACCCAAAGGGCATTAGACCTTAAAATACAACACTGTAGCAAAGAGGAAGAGATTCTCAATAAAAGTTGGTTGAATTGTTTTTACTACTCCTGTTTTTGTCTGATTAGTTTTACATATTTTTAGGCAATAGTCTTGTTCACATCTTTAGGGTTTTTATTGGTTTCATCACTTAGATTGGTTTTTATTTTTTGGATCAACAGATTAATACTGAAACTGGCAATGGTGTAATCAATCGTTGCTGTTCCTTTTAAAGTCTGGCTCTCTGTTTGCGGCACACTGTCCCAGTAATGTTACCAGAAGGACTGTCCAGAGGAAGAAATACCTAAAAAAAAGAACAATAAAAATTGTCATTTAAAACACTATTTGTTATTGTAAACAAGGATCCATAGTATTTACCTCATCTTTGTTGTTTAGACCCATTTTTGTCATGTCTATGGTGAAGTAATGCTGGTTGGGCATGACAATCTCTATTTCCTCCACCTAAGGATAACATGTCTTTTACAGAGTTTCATTTAATGCCACATGCTGTTACAAGTTCATGCAATATCCTACACACACACACACACATATATATATATATATATATATATATATATATATATATATATATATATATATATATATATATATATATATATATATATATTAGGGGTGGGTATTGCCAAAGAAGTCACGATTCGATTCGAATCACGATTCACAGGCCACGATGCGATTCTATCACGATGCATCACGATACTTGAATTATTGCAATGCATTGCAATATTTTATCCTCCATGTTTTGTTTTTAAATGACTCGGTACAGTATCCCGCAGCCGGAAATGCTTGTGACACAAGGCAGCGTGCGTCAACACATTTGCAGCGACATCTACTGGACTGGAAGTTGTATTACACTTGTTTTTGGCTGATGTTCGCCAACCATTCATGCAATTTTATTTATTCATTTTTTTTAATTAATAATTGATTCTTGGCATCAAGAATCGATGCAGTAGATCACGAAAATTAGAATCACGATGCATCATCATCACGATTATTTTGCACACCCCTAATATATATATATATATAGATATATATATATATATATATATATATATATATATATATATATATATATATATATATATATATATATATATATATATATATATATATATATATATATATATATATATATATATAATTTTTTTAAATAAAAGAAAGGAAAAAAAACATTTTATGTTCCAATCATGTGTTTTAAATTAGACTCTATTTATACAAGACTGTAAGCCATAAGTCCTTTTTAGTTGCCGCGAGTTTCATTGAGGTACTTTAAACAAATTGGTTAGCTGTTATGAAGGACTTACCTCAGGGATCCTCTGCAGGACCAGAACCTGTGTGTCATAAAGGGTCTTTTGCACAGATGGTGAGTATTCTCCACGATCGTAGGGCCCAGCAAACTTCTCAATAATTGTGTCTCTTACACACCTCCTACAAACAACGGAAGGTTTCCTTTTAGGCTTTATTTTTTCAGTCTTTAAAATGCTCTTTGTCAGTTGGGGGTGGGGGGGGTTTACTGCACTTCCAAGTTGAAAATAGAATAGAATAGAAAATCCCTTTATAGTCCCACAATGGGGAAATTGTGGCATTACAGCAGCAAAAGATTATAGCAAAAGTGGTCACACAAATGTGGGCCATAGAAAAGTGTATAAATGTAAAAACAGAAAAAGTGACTAAGTTAAGAAAATATATAAAATACAATGTAAATACTGCGCATCTGGAGAATAAATAATGAATATACAGCTGTGGACATTTTTACAGTAGTGGATATGTGGAAAAAATAGCAACACTGGAGATGTGCAAACATGATAGCAGCATGTTACTGAAGTGACTAAGACAGAAACTGCAATCAGCATGAATTTAACTACTTATTGAGGTTGTTGGGGAGAGTGATGGTTGTAGAGGCTTACAGCTGCTGGAAGAAAGGATCTGTCATAACGCTCTCTTTAGACTAACAAGATTTAGACAATTACCATGCAGCGTCGAAGTCCACATCCTGGACTTTGTTGTAGCGCCACCTGGAATAAACAGTTGTGCAGAAAACCCTGTCCTTGGTCTCTTGCAGTGTTGTGAAACGATCTCGGAGAAACCCCTCAAAGCCAGACTGAGTGGTTTTTAGCACCTTCATGTCCTTCACCCCGCTGTGAACCACAGGGGTGCCTGTATGGAGAAAAGTTGGAGCAAAAGCACTAAAGAGTTTATATAGAAATAGTTTCCATCTATAAAACAGGGAAAGCAGATATAGCTGCAAAAAAAAAAAAAAAAAAATGCTAAATTGCAATGAAGGTAAAATAATAAACTTCCAGACTTGGAACTAGTAAAGTCTTTGTATCTGTTGCTGTAGCATTATGTATGCTAACAAAGGAGATCAACTCAAGATATAAGACCAGAGGAAATAATCTGAGTAAAACAAACATTATTTTTTATGAAAAAAGCCCATGCTAACATATTCTCATAATAAAATATAAGTGTGGTGCCTGTGTTTGCTATTACCGCCGAGGTTCTGTTCCACATCACAGAAACGACAAGCCTCTGGGCTGTAGATAAATGCATGAGCGTGTTCTACACCGTTCTGAGAAAAGAAAAGTGAGACCTTTAAAAAATATTATTTTGAAACCAAAATATTTAACATTTACCCAATATTTTAACAAGGCTCTTTAAATCCTTATCGAGTTATTGGGGCGGACAACTTGCGATAATAAATCTTTTCCACATTTTTTGCTAATCTTGAAAAAGTTTAATGTTCCACTCAAAGTCATGATTTAATAAGGATGTATGCTTAAAATCAACAGAGGTGTCAAGTAAAGTACAAATACTTAGTGTACTTAAGTACACGTTTTAGGTTTCTATACTTTACTCTGTTACTTATTTCTTTGTTCTTTATTTCAATTTCTTTCTTCTTCTAACTTATACTCATTACATTTTCACACAAGTATCTGTACTTTCTATTCCTTACATTTTTAAAACAAACGTTACTCGTTACTCTCGTTTTCGGTTTAATGTTAATAAATGTTTATTTCACATGATATGCACCATCCAATGCAGATCATTGGCGTCATCCACATCTAGTGAAAACTAGTGTAATTGGATGAGTCATATAACGCAAACACTCATTGGTTAGGTAAAGGAAATCAGAAGCAAGCAGGTGTTCTTCAAACTCTAAACACAAATTGTCTATGCCATGCTACAATGTCGGATTCAGAAAAAGATGTTGAAATGTCTGAAAGGTCGGACACAGGCGAGAGCGTATCAGGAGAGGGGAACCAACAAGACCTCCCTCATCCTTGGCCCTCTCTTAAAGGAATAGTACACCCAAAACATGATTAGCCTTCATTTTCTACTCACCCCCATGCTGAACAACACCCTGGAGTCCTTTTTTGATATCTCAAATGCATCTGGAGATCTGGGAGGCTTCTTGCTGTCTGCTGACATTCAAATAATGGAGGATCTATGGTGACTGAGACAGAAAGGTCCATAAAAGTCCACAAAAAACGTGTCAATATTCCTCCATACTGCTCGTCCAATGTATTCCAAGTGTCCTGAGTGGGTAGCGTCCATAATTTACTCGAAACGAATTCATTTAGAATGTTTTTAGAGCATAAACAGTAGTGTATAGGATTTCCTGAAAGCGCGCACATGCGCGTTCACGACGCTACGGAAGCCGGCAGACCAAACCAGATGAAAGTGCGCATTCAGCGTCTGCTCTGCCAATAATGCAAGCGTAGAAGAAGAAATGTGCTGTTTACCTGTGCAAAGAAAGAAACAACGAAAGAAAAATGTCTGAGGACTTCAGTGTTGAGGAAGAGCATGAGTTCTTTGCCGAGCTGAATGCGCTGGTTTGGTCTGCCGGCTTCCGTAGCGTCGTGATCGCGCATGTGCGCGCTTTCAGGAAATCCTATACACTACTGTTTATGCTCTAAAAACATTCTAAATGACTTCGTTTCGAGTAAATTCTGGATCCTACCCACTCAGGACACTTGGAATACATTGGACGAGCAGTATGGAGGAATATTGACACGTTTTTTGTGGACTTTTATGGACCTTTCTGTCTCGGGCACCATAGACCTCCATTATTTGAATGTCAGCAGTCAGCAAGAAGCCTCCCAGATCTCCAGATGCATTTGAGATATCAAAAAAGTACTCCAGGGTGTTGTTCAGCATGGGGGTGAGTAGAAAATGAAGGCTAATCATGTTTTGGGTGTACTATTCCTTTAAGGAATTTTTCGAAACAGTCGAAAAAATTAGCTTTTAGTTCATATAGTGGCATCTGGCTGTTTTTGTTTAAAGGTTACTTTATACTTTTATACTTTAAGTAGTTTTTGGAGCACATACTTTTTCACTTTTACTTGAGTAAAGAGGTCAAGTTGATACTTCAACTTTTACCAGAGTGTTTTTTAACTGCAGTATCTATACTTCTACTTAAGTAACAAATGTGTGTACTTTTGACACCACTGAAAATCAATCTTTATCTTACTACCTGAGAGTTCACTATTTTGGTTAAAACCGTACTGATAAGTAGAATTTCATCCTAACAGAAGCTCAGTACCTAAGGAATGTAACCCATATCATGATGCTAACACCACTACAGCTCACTCATACCAGCAGGATATTTTGTTTTGTTTCTTTTTTACCTGTTTCCCATTAAGCTTTTAAGTACAGTCTCTCCCATTTCAACCACTGAGGCCTTTAACTCGCTCAGAGTGGGGGCAGGTATCTTGGCTCTCCCTCTTTCACTGTCTTTCCATTTGGGAGAATTTCCAGGAAATGTTCAGTGAGTTACTGTTTTTTTTTTTTTTTTTTTTTTTTTTTTTTTTTTTTTTTTTTTTGCTATTTGTAGCTATTCTCTGACTTCCATTTTTAAATAATATTATTTAGTATTGATATCATTATTAAAAAGAATAAGACATGTTAATATTTGTTCACCTTTTATAGGATGAACAAGAAACCTATATTTCAAAGAATGAATACTGCAGACTCCATTAATGCATTAAAAATTGATTATTTGCTCATCGTTGGGATCTTTTGCATCAGGAAAAGGACATTAGTGTTTCTTATGAACATTATTGACCGTATTTAAGTCACTGTATGTTCTTAACTTTCCTATTATGCTGCATGGCATAAGTAATGAGTTTAATAAATGTTTGCAGAATAGAAAGTGGTTGCAGAATTCTTGCAGAAAAAAAGGAACTTTAGAAAGAATTCATTCAGTTAAGAACTAATGTTGCAGAGAGCAGACATGCAAACTATAAAAACAAGCTGAATATTTTAATATCAAGCAGAAAAGAATATTACAAATAGATATTGGAAAACAAGTGATAACAAGGGGATATGGTGTATTCTATTTAGTGTTTTCAAAAAAATTGTGTCAAGCAAACAATTTATCCTCAGCACTGTGTAGATACAGATGCTGATAAATATGATATGACTGATGTTGCAAATAGTTCTAAAAAAAAACATTATATACAATTGATCGCAACAGATTACTTAATAAACGGGAAACGGCAAGGTATAAGGGTTGTTGTGTTGGAGTGGGTTAAAACCTATAAACACATATACATTTTATTTTGTACATTGATGATATTTTAAAGGTATCAAGTAAATTAAAAAGGAATCTTTTCGTTGATGATACTAACATGTTTTGCACTGAGGCTAATTTACAAACACTTCGGGATGATGTCACCCATGAAACTGAACAGATAGAAGTGTCTTTAAATTTGAAAAAAAAATAAATTCATATAATTCTGCTATCACAATAGAAATGTAAACATATACATTAAAATTAATGGATTTCCAATAGAAAAAGTTCACCAACTAAATTTCTCAGGATGAAAATAAGTAATCATTTCAACTGGAAATTGCCTAAAACCCTTTATCCTCATGTGTTTGATCATAAATCAGTTCATCTACTATACTATGCATTAATTTGCATAGTATAGTAACATATTCAAGATACTGTTCAGTGGTTTGGGGTAACACACTACTTCTCCGCACCTGTTAATCATGCATCAAATGAAAGCAAAACGCATTTTATATAATGGTGACTTTCTACAGTCAAGATTATTTAAGTTCACATATTTAAATTTCAAACAGCATGAGTTACGTTCAAGATCTGATAGATTACCAGCTAATATACAGGAGATGTTTCAAGATGGAGACGGTGGGTATAATTTAAGGTGTCATTTAAAGCCAAAAACTTTGATTGCGCAAATAACAAAAAGAACCTTCTCTGGTGTACGGCTGCGGAATGACTTAAGTAAAGAACTGAAACAAAGTAGAGGCATGAAAGTATTTACAAAAAAGTACATTTTAACAATACAGGGTGGCTTACAGGCCATGGCCATTATCTGGATATGTGGGTTTATTACTTGTTATTTACCAATCATTACTGAAATTGTTCTGATATTATGTTAGTTATCTCTTTGGTTATAGATGGCAGTTTTTTTAACCTGTGAACTTCAGCACAGTTATTATTTCTTCTTTTTATTTTGGTCTAGGAAAGAAGGATGGTTTAATGAGTTTGACTGATAAAAAGTGATGAAAAACTGAGAGAGGGGGGTATATGTATAATTGTTCACTTCTACCCATTCGTTTTTTTTTTTTCAGACCTGATTTTAAATCGATTTTCTGTTGTATTGTTTTACTGACCCCTGTTTGACAGGGTATATCTTGAAGAGCAATAAGGTGTTGTATTTATACAATAAGGTGCTGATGAAGATTCCCAGTCATCCAGGTCATAGTCATTCCGTGAAAGTTAAAAAAAATATCCACTGGACCTGGTTTCCAAGATTTGAAATTTCAAATCTTGGAAACCAAGTCCAGTGGATATTTTTTTTTGAACTTTTACGGAATATACGATAAGGTCATTCTGATTCTGTGGAACATAGTGGATGATGCAATCTAAGAGGTAGATAAAATGTTGCATTAGTTAAGTTTTATATCATTTAAAGTCAGATTCAATATAATCAGAGATAGGGTTAAAGTCAAGCTAAATGAGAATGTGCCCACTCTGATTTTCAGCTGAGTTTTTATAAGGTATACATCACAGATATGCAAACATAATCTACATAATGAACATGTATACACTTTTATGAACCATTTTACTTTGCTAAATGTTTTGCCAATAATGAGGTAGCAGCAGTGAGTGGGTTAAAACCAGTGCTTATCTCTGGACTTGAGTGTTACCTTGTTCAGCCTTTTCCAGGGTGCCTCCTCCATGTAAACTTTGGCCCTCAGTACATGGTTGAAAGAGGTCAGGAAATGATGACAGAGATCAAGGGAAAATTGCTCAATGGTGTTTACCTGAACATATAGGGGGGGAAAGTCTGAATAGTTTGTTTTTGTACATTATTAAAAATACTGGATTTGCATTAATTTAAAGTTCCATTGAATTTGGTGGGTGTTATAATGATTATGTTTTTCATGAAAAATACAATTATTTACTGTGTAGCAGTGAGCTTTTGCAAAAATAATCTCTGGTCTGTAGATGTCTGTTTAGCTGCATAACCAATAAAGAATGATTTTACGTTTGAAGGAAAGAAACCACATATGATCTTTTGTAAATCCCAGTGGTTTCCAACTAATTTACAGAAATCCCCCTTATCAAACGTTCATACTTAAATTGTTAAAAATTTCTTTCTTTCTTTCTTTCTTTCTTTTTCTTTCCTTCCTTCCTTCCTTCCTTCCTTCCTTCCTTCCTTCCTTCCTTCCTTCCTTCCTTCCTTCCTTCCTTCCTTCCTTCCTTCCTTCCTTCCTTCATTCCTTCCTTCCTTCCTTCCTTCCTTCCTTCCTTCACATCATATATAATCTTCCAAGGTCTTTGCATTCTCTTAATGTATGAAAATAGTCGCCTTCTTGACAAATATCAAACAACAATCTATGAACTTCTTCTGATTCCAGAATATGCTTTTCAAGTATGAATATTATTCAAAGGATGTTCGTACTTATTAAAATATGCATTTTGACATCCCTAATACATTCAACAGAGTCATCATCTTATAACAAGCCGCGTAAAGCCAGCTTCTCTTTAGACATTTTTTTAAACAGTAAAGAAAAATATTTTGAGTAGAATTTAACACAGTGCCAGCCCATCAGATGACTCTGTAATAAGTAAAAACTGGAGCTCTAACTCACCCCTTTGATTTTGGCCAGGGCATGGACAGTGTTCTTGACGGTGTCTGTAGGAATGATGTCTGAGTTGTCTCCGGTCAGATAATCCTTGCGTGATTTGAGTGTGATTTCAACGTTAGCATTCAGCTCAATAAGGTAGTGGTGTCTTCCCTGCCTTTTGATGAACATCACCTTCACAGCATTCTTGCCATAGCCCGTCCGAACAAACTCCACATTCTGTAACAATGGAAGAGACTTGCTGCTGTTTTCAGTCAGACACGTCCTTGTTATTTTCTAAAACTTAAATACTTTATTGTTACGTGATGAAATAATAGAAAATCATACTAAAATGTTTGTCTTTTATTAATATTTGGCTCTATTATATCTCATTATGATGTTATGTTGCTTATTGGTTCTAAAAAGCTTCAGGTTCAGCCTTGAGGTCACTGACCCCAAACCATGGTTTTTATCTTCACTGCTAAATGTTTAGATTTAAGCCATTAAAATCATCATCTTTTGCTCTAAAAAAATGTATTACCTGATTTCCCACGTATGCCATGTTGCTATCTTCTCTTTTACCTTTGGCGTTTCATATCCTGTCTCTAACCACCTACAAAGATCTTGGCAGCACAGACATATTTTGTTTAGTGGGTGTTGCCCTTTTTGCACTGACTCGATTGGGAGATCTAGACAGATTTCAACATATTTTACATATACGTAAAAGCACTCATCAACATTCACAGACAGACACACATTCAGAGGATGTTTTATTTTGTATTGATCTCCAGGTTGTTTTTTTAAACTGAACTCTCCCCTCTGAGATGTGGAAATGTTTATCCTTGTTCTCTGAAAACAGCTGGATGTGCAAGCTGAATATCAGCTAACATCTCATCTCCCAACTCCTATATTCTGATATTGTGATGAACACCTTAGACAGAACATGAAGCTTTAACTGAATGGTGGAGATTTCATCAGCCAGCATAGCAGTTGGTTTCCATTAAGACAGGCTGGATAAAGGCTTTGCTGACCAATAAGTCCTACTAATCTAATATACCTCGTCTGATCTTTAGCAATTGATGGAAGATGTTTAGAAAGATTCTCCCGTCAAATAAAACAGTTTTATTACATGGTATGTTTTACCCTTTAACCGCTGTATTTTTTACACAGGATCAGTTATTTCTTGACATGTGACTGGGCTTCCTGGCTTCCTTCCTTCCTTCGTGGCTTTTTTCATGGCTTCCTTCCTGGCTTCCTTCTTTTGTGGTTTCCTTCCTTCCTTCCTTGCTTCCTTCGTGGCTTCCTTTCTTGCTTTTTTATTGGCTTCCTTCCTTCCTTCCTTCCTTCCTTCCTTCCTTCCTTCCTTCCTTCCTTCCTTCCTTCCTTCCTTCCTTCCTTCCTTCCTTCCTTCCTTCCTTCCTTCTGTAATAAATCCATTAGGCACATTTTCAGTTGAATTACGGGAAAATTAGACAATGTGATCTTCCAAACTGTTTAACCATATCCCAATTCATGGAAATAGTTTTAATAGTTAATTTTGACATCCCTAATAAATTCAACAGAGTCATCATCCTTTTATCAAAAATATTTTTTTTAAATGAAAAATAACAACATTTTTCAAGGAGAATTTTAGACAATGCAACCTCCCAAACTAAGGTTTTATCGGAGAACATTAAACATTCCCATTCTTCATCTTTCAAAGGTAACCACTTTTGTAGTAGCTGTGTGTGATGCAGCAACAGGAGATATTCTTTTGCACACTAGAAGCCATTAATAAATTATTAATCACAGTAATTCAAATATTTGATATTGTTAAACACCTATAAACTTAGAAACACAAGTAGGCAAAAGGTTGATCTAGTTTTTTCCTTCTATCTTGAAAGCAAAGGGATTTTCTTTTACATTGCATTTGAACATGCAGCTGCATTTTATTCTGTCATTTTATATGATGTGTAATTATCTTTTTATTGAAGTGGTATTTCTGAAACAATATTATGATCAAGTACTCTGTAATTGTGAACGTAAATGCTCTCAACAGTGATTTTATATGATTAACACACTCTAAAAATTGCCTATTTTGGACAAAAAACAAATTCCTACAGCACATTTGATTTAATTCAGTTTATTTATATAGAGGCAGTTCATAACATGTCATGTCAAGGTACTTTACAGTGACAATATCCTCAGATTAGTTAAAGGTTCTGTCTAGGAAAACCACTTGATTGCATTTGAGTCATTGACTTGCAGGAAAAGCTCCTACTGTATAAGCTTGCAGCGATGATTTCCGCTTGCATTTTGTCGTTGACTATTCAGCAATCCATCACTCAAAGCATGCTTGTAGTGACAGTGGACAGAAAAACTCCCTTTTAAAAGGCAGAAACCTCCAGCAGAACCAGGCTCAGTGTGAGCGGCCATCTGCCGAGGCCAACTGGGGTTCAAAGAGACAGAAACAGAGATACAGAAAGAAGCACAAAGGCAAAAGGTAACTCTTGAACAGCTTCACAGGCGGCACCATCCAGGAAACACACAGACGGGCAAAAGGGCTCCAAGGCAGCTCCCATGTCAGAGAATGAAAGAGAGCACATACAGTTAGTCACAGTCAGAGAACCAGGACTACACTGAACAGGCCAAGCTCTAACATCCTAAAACAGAAATGTCAATATTTCAATCCAGGATGGAGTCACAGCCCAACAGGAAAAAAACTAGATGAAGGTACTATCATGAGGAAAAGGCAGAGAGAAAATAAAGTAATGAGTGTAACTTATAAATACTAACACTGATATCTACTTACAAATACTGCAGAATGGGAGAATAGAGATAAAATGAAGCAGAATGGGGAAAGGTGGTTTAACACTGTACTACAGATATATTAGGATGCATAACCATCCTCCGTTTCTGCTGCTTGGTCATTTAACTGTACAGTAAGTTTGCAATAAAGCATGAATCCTGTTAACACATCTTTACTCATATAACATTACAGGAAAATCCCTTAACAGTATTATAGCTTATATCACAAAATAAGTAACTGTAAAGGAACTGATCGCACTTTGGCTCTAAAGGTGACATTTTTCTTTCAGTCATAAATAAACACTGAAATATGCAGGTACCCAACTTCTAACAATTGAGTTTGCAAAATTGAGAATGTCAGTTCTAAATGCAGTTCATAGTTTCTGAGCCCAAATAAGTGAAGTGAAAACTGACAAATCTCTTAGTGTTTCACCGTGATGCATTTTCAACATGGTTCCTAAAAATAAAAGACAAACAGGTGTGAACATGTGAAACAATTTACATATGAGGAACAGTAATAAGATTAAAAGAAAGAATATATAAAAATAAACTTCAAATGGTAGAATTTGTGTAAAAAAATCCAACCCCTGTATGAAAAAGGGTGAATTGTAATGTTTTTTTTTAATAGGGAACTTTCATTACCCCATCATGTGACCATGTTATTACTTCCTGTTTTGCATATCTATGCAGCTGTGTCTTTCTTACCATCATGTACCACACTGTCCCTTAATAGGCTTCAGATTTTCCCTTTGTATTTAACATTTGGTCGTGTCGTCTGCAGCCACATTCTCGCTCAGGATGGCCTCACATTTCAGACCCTTCTTCCACATTACTGTCTTTTTATTGTGTTTCACGATGGGCAGAAGTCACATTTCCTGCAGAAATGAAGCCGACGAACCTGTTGACTGGTGAGTTGACATTACATACTGTATAACGGCACATTATATATTCTACTAATAGTTTTATTTATCACCCTTTGATGATGTGGAAATTTCTGATGTTGTGTAATAGAACAACCTGTTAAATAATTTCCAATTCTTTCAGGTTTATTATCTACAAACTGCCAAAGTTTAAGATAGGAGAGGTTGGCAGTGGAGTGGACTACATGTACCTGGATTCAGCAGGTGGGGGTTGGCAGAGGAGTACATTTATGGTTAACACGACCCAAGGAGGAGCCCTGGTCAACACTCTGAATCAGCTGTACAAGGGAAAGGCCTACATGGTAAAGCAGTGCCATTCTTCTTCATTAGTGAATGTACTTGATCTTAAAATAATATCCCTAGTATTTGTAATTCCACGCACTTAAAGCCAATTTATTTAATTGCATGGGTGTAGATTTTATGCAGCATTGGCATTTTAAATGAACTGATGTGAAAAAAAATGTTTAAAATAATTAGACGTAAAGGTCATATGGATGTTAGATTGTCGTAGGTTATCAAGATCTTAATGTAATGTATGTTTGGGAGATAAATCTGACTCATCAGTTGTTAATTATTGCATAAAATCATAACTGTCATATTACTAAACTTGATAGAAAAAACCCACCTACCTATTTATATCTTCAGCTAATTTTTTTTAACCCTTATTGTTTATGCTCAAAGAATAAACAGAGGAGTAACTAGATGTATAGACTTCTATCTCATTGAAAAGGGGTATTAAGTTATTTTTAAGGCTTTGAGAAAATGGGGTAGTGATGAATATTTACATGAACGGCCGCCCACCAAAATTACTTTAAGAGACTTTCAGCTCATGGAAGTGGTCATAAAAGAAACTAGAACAACACAGTGTTTAAGATTCAATGGAAACTATAAGATTGGGCAGAGTAACCATCTATTGCTTCTCAGTTAAAAAAAAAATCTTTAACCCAGTCATCAGAAACACTGTTGGGGGCACAGCTTGTTGTTATGCTGAGAAGGCAATTCTTTTTTTGCATATAGCCAAGTCAACTTCATGACCCTTATTCATTCATTATATTATATTTGAGGTATAAAATCAGCTGTTATGCATATGATACTTTAAGCATGAAACCAGTTTCTCTTCCAGTCCAACAGCTCTGTTTACGCACTCTACAATGATGGCGCACCAGAGCTGAAATATATCCACACTTATGGACACAGCAAAGGTACAGCACTATGATAAAAACTCCCCTTTATTTTACAACCATTTTAATTTTATTTACAGGTGCTGGTCATAAAATTAGAATATCATGAAAAAGTAGATTGATTTCAGTAATTCCATTTAAAAAGTGAAACTTGTATATTATATTCATACATTACATACAAACTCATATATTTCAGATGTTTATTTTGTTTAATTTTGATGATTACAAATGACAACAAATGAAAATCTCAAATTCATCATATCAGAAAATTAGAATATTACTGAAGACCAATAAAAACAAAGGATTTATAGAAATGTTGGCCAACTGAAAAGTATGAACATGAAAAGTATGAGCATGTACAGCACTCAGTATTTAGTTGGGCCTCCTTTGGCCTGTATTACTGCAGCAATGCGGCGTGGCATGGAGTCGATCAGTCTGTGGCACTGCTCAGGTGTTATGATAGCCCAGGTTGCTCTAATAGTGGCTTTTAGCTCTTCTGAATTGTTGGGTCTGGTGTATTGCATCTTCTTCTTCACAATACCCCATAGATTTTCTATGGGGTTAAGGTCAGGAGAGTTTGCTGGCCAATTAAGAACAGGGATACCATGGTCCTTCAACCAGGTACTGGTAGCTTTGGCACTGTGTGCAGGTGCCAAGTCCTGTTGGAAAATGAAATCTGCATCTCCAAAAAGTTGGTCAGCTGCAGGAAGCATGAAGTGCTCTAAAACTTCCTGGTATGTGGCTGCGTTGACCCTGGACCTCAGAAAACACAATGGACCAACACCAGCAGATGACATGGCACCCCAAACCATCACTGACTGTGGAAACTTTACACTGGACTTCAAGCAACGTGGATGAAGTGCCTCTCTTCTTTTCCTCCAGACTCTGGGACCTTGATTTCCAAAGGAAATGCAAAATTTACTTTCATCAGAGAACATGACTTTGGACCACTCACCAGCAGTCCAGTCCTGTTTCTCTTTAGCCCAGGCAAGACGCTTCTGACGCTGTCTGTGGTTCATGAGTGGCTTGACACAAGGAATGCGACAGCAGAAACCCATGTCTTTCATACGTCTGTGTGTGGTGGTTCTTGAAGCACTCACTCCAGCTGCAGTCCACTCTTTGTGAATCTCCCCCACATTTTTGAAGGGGTTTTGTTTCACAATCCTCTCCCGGGTGCGGTTATCTCTCTTGCTTGTACACTTTTTTCGACCACATCTTTTCCTTCCCTTCGCCTCTCTATTAATGTGCTTGGACACTGAGCTCTGTGAACAGCCAGCCTCTTTAGCGATGACCTTTTGTGTCTTGCCCTCCTTGTGCAAGGTGTCGATGGTCGTCTTTTGGACAACTGTCAAGTCAGCAGTCTTCCCCATGATTGTGTAGCCTATAGAACTAGACTGAAAGACCATTTAAAGGCTTTTGCAGGTGGTTTGAGTTAATTAGCTGATTAGAGTGTGGCACCAGGGGCCATCAATTTTGAACCTTTTCACAATATTCTAATTTTCTGATATGATGAATTTGAGATTTTCATTTGTTGTCATTTGTAATCATCAAAATTAAACAAAATAAACATCTGAAATATATGAGTTTGTATGTAATGTATGAATATAATATACAAGTTTCACTTTTTAAATGGAATTACTGAAATCAATCTACTTTTTCATGATATTCTAATTTTATGACCAGCACCTGTATTTCATCCTTAAAAGTATGTCACAGCTCTTTGGAAGTACTCTATATGTCATGATACATTGTTTTTATGACTGAGCTTGAATAAAGCATGCAATTTGTTGAATCCAATGTAGGTGCAACAGAGGGGAAACTATCTTTTTTGTCTTTTTTTCTGGTGGTGACAATGTAGAATAGATTAATCAATTTCAAAAAGGAGAGGTGCAAAGGCCAAGCGCCTGATAACAACTGTTTGCTCTGACAAAACCTATCTCTCTGACACGTAGTGGACATGTTTTTGTAGTCTCTGTGCCTGTTTGCATGTTTCTGACTCTACCTGTATTATCCTGCATGCTAAAGCATATGCTTGCATTCACCCTACAGGGGTTCTGCTCTTTGACCGCTCTCAAGGTTTCTGGCTGTCCCACTCCATCCCCCATTTCCCTTCCTTCCCTGAGCGAGGCTACCAGTACCCCTCCTCTGGCAAACGAAACGGCCAAACTGCCCTGTGCATGACCTACCCGTATGCGCAGTTTCTCAGTATAGGTGAGTGAGTGCACAGTTAGACTGACTGATATGACCTGCTTATAGTGTCAGTGTGTAACAAAAAATATGCAGCAAAATAAAAAGCCTCATAATACCCTTTCCCCCCATAAAATTAATGATATGATATATATATACCAATCCATCTGTCTCAAAGGTATTGCTTTGCCACCTTGCAATTATGCCTCTCTCTTTGTGCAGATGTTTTAGATATTTAAATAGTTTTACATTCTACACACATTTCACATATCATTACAAACACACCTTTGACAAAATTAACAGGTATTATTTTAGAAAGTTCCAGTTTCCATGTTCATTTACCGGTATACTGTAGAATACTTTTCACACCCAGCTGTTTTTTTTTTCTATTTTTTTATTCCAAATTTTACAAATAAGGTCACTCTCCAGCAGAGGTGGGTTGAATGCCCAAAAAATGTTCTCAAGTAAGAGTAGCACTACTTTTTTTTTCTCTTCAAGTGAAGATAAAAGCAGTCATTCAATAAGTTACTTAAGTATAGATTAAAAAAAAGCATTTGGTAGAATGGCTACTTGAGTACTGAGTAACTGATGTATAATAACATCAGATTAAATGTTTATAAATGATGCTGGAAAACAGACTTTATCTGCAAGTTCTGGCATTTTAAATACTCAAATGCCTAAAGAATACAAATAAATGTCATGAATATAAAAGAACAAATTTATGCAGATACATTTTTTTTTATGTTAGGACAGGGTAACAAACTTGCACTGTTAATATCTACTGTTTAGTGTATTCTTACCTGATCTATGAACAGTCCAAATTACTCACAGAGGATAGTTAAAGATTTTACTCGAATAGCGATACTTTACAAGAATATTACTCAAGTAAAGGTTTAAAGTGCAACACAGTAAACCTTCTCCTAAAAGTTTTTTTTTTTCATATTGTTACTAAGTAAATGTAACTGAGTAAATGTAACTAATTACCAACCACCTCTTCTCTCCTGCACAGTTTAGTTTCTGTATGCATGTGAGGTTTAGAGACTTTGCACACATTCTTGTCAATTCACCGAGCTAGTGTGGCCTTTAAAAAAAAAACACCTTGTAAATTCTGAATTTAATCAATCTGGTTGAGGCCATTTGTTTTTAGGTAAAAACAATAATTCCAGGTGAATTTGAAGCCCAACTCCTCTAGCTTGTTTAACTTGCGAACAGGACCAAATTTAAGTGATAATATTTGTCTATTAATCTAATGAAAACAACGCAAGATTATATGTCATATTAAATAACAGATGAATAATTTACAGTAATACTCCATAAATTAGAATAATATTTCCATTGAGGCTCGTTTGTAAGATTAAACTTTGGCAAATACCAACCTAAACATACTTTTCACTAAGCCCATATTCCTTCACTAACTTTTGACTGATGCAATGCTTCACGATGTAATAATCTCAAGTGTGGTGTTTTTGATATAGCTTTAAGCAAATAAATCATCATTAACAAAATTAGAGACTTGAAAGAAATCCATCTGTGTAATTAATTTATATAATGCGTTTTATTAGTAAATTGACCTACCGAAATAAATCAATGTTTGATATTTTGTTATAACTGTACATGACTAAGGACATATTTTTAGGTGGAAGTAACTCCAAGGATTTATTTGCATAATCAAAAGTTCTGATTAAAATCGAATGAAGAAAGTTGATTTATTTTGTGCAGCTGTCCTTATCTCTACAACACCACACGTTTTTAACTACCCAGATTTACACACTTATTGTTTTACGGCGCTACACCATACTCTCATCACGTACATATGCATGACTAACAAAAGATTAACGTATCTCTAGATGTCAGACATATGTCTGAGATACAGAAAAGCTTTACATACAGTAGCTAAAAGCTGCTGGTACTCTGATTATTCAACATTTTTCATTTCTTACTCCTTTGCTCAAAGGAAATTACTCATTTTAAGTCTTAAATACCTAACATTTAAACCAGAGTTTGGGATCTTTTTTGAGCTGAAATGGTAAAATAATTACCATTTATGTTTTATTTTATTTTTTTATGCCTTAAGAAGAGATGTACATCTATAGTTACATCTATCCATTTTTGTTCCCTCCTGCAGCACAGCAGCTGGCCTTCGTTTACCCACGTTTCTACAACTGCTCCGTCCCCTCAGCGTTCTCGGCTGACCTACCGCAGCTTGTCCAGCTGTGTAAGGGCTCCAAATTGCCACTGACCTCAGACAGAGGAGTTAAGCCCCTTTTTTCTCTCAGTGGGGATAAATTTGTGAGCTTTATGAAATCGGAGCTTTTTGTGGATGGTAAGATATTCCTCAGATAGATCTAGACTTTCATATTTACGTTTTTGAACATTCAGTTTCTCATAGAGGAGTTATAAAGTTTTCTGCTGTTCTGTTAACATGTTTTGCTGTATAGTATTGAGCACTGACACTTCATCAACTGAAAACTTCATCAACTTGAAATATTAAGGCAGGAAATTCAAATCAATGCAGATCATTTTCAGCCAAAAATATAATCTATGGAGCCTTGCAGTTATTTTTATCAAAATTTACATGATACTGATAACTACTACCAGTGAATAAAGCCTAAGATATCAGAAAGCAGCAAGTGTATTCCACAGAAGTTTCAGGAAAGTACCTGTCAAGTTTCAGGAAGTATACTACCGTTCAAAAGTTTGGGGTCACCCAAACAATTTTGTGTTTTCCCTGAAAAGTCCCACTTATTCAACTCCATACATTGTGAAATGAATAGAAAATACAGTCAAGACATTTACAAGGTTAGAAGTATTGATTTGTATTTGAAATAAGATTTTTTTTTACATCAAACTTTGCTTTCGTCAAAGAATCCTCCATTTGCAGCAATTACAGCATTGCAGACCAGAGCTGGCATTCTAGCTGTTAATTTGTTGAGGTAATCTGGAGAAATTGCACCCCACGTTTCCAGAAGCAGCTCCCACAAGTTGGATTGGTTGGATGGGCTCTTCTTCCGTACCATACGGTCAAGCTGCTCCCACAACAGCTCAATGGGGTTCAGATCTGGTGACTGTGCTGGCCGCTCCATACCAATAGAATACCAGCTGCCTGCTTCTGCTCTAAATAGTTGTTGCACAATTTGGAGGTGTGTTTAGGGTCATTGTCCTGTTGTAGGATGAAATTGGCTCCAATCAAGCGCTGTCCACTGGTCATGGCATGGTTTTGCAAAATGGATTCATAGCCTTCCTTATTCAGAATCCCTTTTACCCTGACCAAACCGCCCACCTTACCAGCAGCAAAGCAACCCCAGACCATCACATTACCTCCACCATGCTTAAAAGATGGCATCAGGCATTCTTCCAGCATCTTTTCATTTGTTCTGCATCTCACAAACATTCATCTTTGTGATCCAAACACCTCAAACTTGGATCCATCCGTCCACAACACTTTTTTCCAGTCTTCTTCTGTCCAATGTCTGTGTTCTTTTGCCTATCTTAATCTTTTTCTTTTATTGGCCAGTCTCAGATATGGCTTTTTCTTTGCCACCCTGCCCTGAAGCCCAGAATCTACTGCTACTAATCTACTACTATTTAATGAAGATGCCAGTTGGGGACCTGTGAGGCGTCTGTTTCTCAAACTAGAGACTCTAGTGTACTTATCTTCTTGCTCAGTTGTGCAACGCAGCCTCCCACTTCTTTTTCTACTCTGTTTAGAGTCTGTTTGTGCTGTCCTCTGAAGGGAGTAGTACACACCGTTGTAGGAAATCTTGAATATCTTAGCAATTTCTCACATGGAATAGCCTTCCTTTCTAAGAACAAGCATAGACTGTCTAGTTTTAGATAAAAGTTCTCTTTTTCTTGCCATTTTGAGCGTTTAATTGACCCCACAAATGTGATGCTCCAGAAACTCAATATGCTCAAAGGAAGGTCAGTTTTGTAGTTTTTGTAACGAGCTAAACTGTTTTCAGATGTGTGAACATGATTGCACAAGGGTTTTCTAATCATCAATTAGCCTTCTGAGCCAATTAGCAAACACCTTGTACCATTAGAACACTGGAGTGATGGTTGCTGGAAATGGGCCTCTATACACCTATGTAGATATTGCACCAAAAACCAGACATTTGCAGCTAGAATAGTCATTTACCACATTAGCAATGTATAGAGTGTATTTCTTTAAATGTAAGACTAGTTTAAAGTTATCTTCACTGAGAAGTACAGTGCTTTTCCTTCAAAAATAAGGACATTTCAATGTGACCCCAAACTTTTGAACGGTAGTGTACCTTTTAAGTTCTAGAAAGTAGCCTCCAAGATCAGAGAAAGTAATCTTTTGACTGTATCAGCAGTATAATACAATACCACAAAGGTGGACTATGTTTCATATGATAAGTGTATTTTTATTTTTTTCTTGTTGATAATGAACCTTTCTTCTCCAACTTTTTTGGCTTCCTGTAGATATCTACAACGCCTGGGTGGCGCAGGCCCTGGACACCGATCTTCTGGTGGAGACTTGGCAGAGGCAAGGCCGTGAGCTGCCCTCCAACTGCTCCCTGCAAAAGCACACGATGAACATCAAAAGGATTCAGCTTCCTCCATCAGTCCAGTTCGAGTCGCGCTATGACCACTCAAAGTGGTGCGTGTCGCCAGTTGACAGGGTGACCTGCCTGGGGGATCTGAACAGGGTCAAGGCTCAGATGCTTCGTGCAGGGGGGCTGATCTGCTCCTACAACCCAGTGATTTACAAAGCCTTCAGAAAGGCAGTGAACTGGTACATTAGCTGCTAAACAAGGCTGAATGAATTTGATTGAGTTTGATCATTTGTGTTTTAAAAATCTGCCTTGTAACCCTCTATGAAGTTTTATCTAACAAATGGTCCTACTTTTCCCTTAGAGGTATTTTAATCAAAGTTAAACTCATAACCCTTCACAATTATTAGGAAACCTGGAGCTTTGTACAACAGCCTTTAAAATAGTTATGGGGATTTCAATATAAATATGTTCAAATCACGGTAGTCAGTGCGACTGAGATTTGTTGGATACAGTTTAATTGATCAGTATGATTACCAAGAAGGCTTTTTTGTGGCCTAGTCAAAGGCCATGTTTTAGCGAAACACTTCTGTGCACTGCGACCTATAGAAAGCGTTGCTTGCTTTCAGCAATTCTTGTTTATAGCTGTTACCATCAACAGTGGTCATTGCTTTTTCACATAATTTGGTTTAGATAGCAAGGCAGGGCAAGGTAAGGCAAATTTATTTGTATGGCACAATTCAGTACAAAGAAAATGCAAAGTGCTTTTTAGATGGCTTTTTTCTTACTATGATACTAAATATACTAAATTGTTACTATCATTTAAAAAAAATCACAATTTAAAAAGCTTTTTTTTAGGTATTTACTCAGGTTTTCTTTGTCTGATATTGAAATGTTTACAATAATCCCACACTTCAATATGAAAATGTATCCATAAAAAATATAAAACTGTAAGAAAAAATTAATGTTTTAAAGTACCGTAAAAAAAAAAAACTGAGAAAATGTAAAGCATCATGTGTTTTTCAATTAAAATCCAGTTTGTATAATTAATTTTGCAATTAAACAGCACCTTCTAGTGGTGAGACTGGTGGAATGTGGTTAAAACTTAAAGTTTATGGCTTTTCATGAGCATCCAGCTACTTTCCTCCAGCAACTTATACTTAGACTTCTTTATTTGTCATTTTGTATGCACAGAGTGCATACAGAACGAAATTGCGTTACATACAGCTTATGAACATTGCATTGATATTTCAAATGGCACGAGTTATACAGAAAGTGCAGCAGTGGTCAAAGTGTAAAACAGTGCAGAGGATGAAGACAGTATGCAAATTGCAATGGTTCAGTGCAGATAGGCATTTGTGCAAAAAATGCGTTATTTAGAATAGAAATGAGATGAACTTAAAGGGCTAAAAGTTAAACGTTCAGCAGCATTTGATGCCTGATAATGTGCAATAGGTGCAGAGTTCGGTTTGTGGATCAAAGGTTCAACAGTCTGATGGCAGTGGGGAAGAAGCTGTTGCAGAACCTGGTGGATCTGCAGCGGAGGGCAGCAGGGACAACAGTCCATGGTGGGGGTGTGAGGGGTCTTTGATGATATTACGGGCTCGGGACACACAGCGCTGTGATGAAATGTCCTTAATGGAGGGAAGAGGAGCCCCAATGATTCCTTCTGCTGTCCTCACCACCCTCCTCACGTTCTTCCAGTCGGAGGCTCTGCACACCACAACGACCATAACAACTTGGAGGCATTTGTGTTTGAGTGTCTTATCTTTCAAAAATATTTTCTTGAAAGAATTGCTTGGAACATCAATTTATATGATCCATTTTTATATCGTTTATTATGTTTCTAAAATAGTAAATGTAAAAAGCCTTCCTCTTTTGTATTCATGCAGCTTTTCAGAGTGGGATCCATCGATAAGTTCTGTGTGAATTGTTCAGATGATGCACAGTGAGATTTGCAGCGACAACTTTTTCTCCTATTTGTATAAACAACATGGAAGTGTCAGCAGGTTTGAGGCAATTAAACTTTTAAAGCGCTTGCGTTTCCCAATAACTGCTCTTTGTTAGAAACAGTAGACAAACAGGTTACACAGGCACATCGGATGAATTACAGGTGCAATTTTTAAAATATTTTTTCACATTGATGGTTTGTGCAACAAGGAAGCGACTAAAGTGTGAAAAAACCGTGGGTGTCAGTTTCCTTTTGACACTGGCGTATGACACAGCAGCTTTTCAAACAGTTTTGTAGTCCAGTTTGAAGGCAAGTGACGATGACAGCGCATGTGAGTTGAACATTTAAAGGGAAATATTAAAAACAGAAATAAATAATTGTAAGCTGAGTAAAAATAACATTGATATAACTTAAAAACAGAACATTTGGAATCAATGATAGTTTTAGATCTGCTTCTGTTTATGTACAGGGTTGTCAAAAGAATTAAAGCTCACAAAGTGAAAGTAGTCTAATAGCTATGCTTTGGTTGTACGTATTGTTATTTTGAATAAATGGTAAAAATGTATGCCAATTAATATAGATCCTAACTGTTGGATTGACTTTGTTTAAACGAATAGTTGTGTTGCATCACTAAGTTGTATCAGGAAGTGCCTTTTGTGGGTAACCAGAACTCTAATAAGTCATTAGAAATAGAGAGGTTTCTTAAAAGAGAGGAAACTTGTATGCAGAAAACAAAAAATAGCAATCTTGTATATTTGCAAAAGGTTGTAACATAAAACAACAAAGAGTTTTGACACCTGCTATAATGAGGGGAAACCATTATTAGTATGTAAAACACTAGACCACACATGTATATTTGAAACACTGGAAAAGAGACAATTTTCTGCATATTTTACTTCCAAGGAGCCAAACATTCATTTTAAAATTGGAAACTCCTGTAGATCAATGGGGTTTCTTTGGGATAGGACTGCTTTTTCTTCATTAGTCTGGTCCTTCTTTACAAATAAGCTTTCCATGCAGAGTTTGTTAGAAGAAAAAACATAAAGAGGAGGGCAGTGGATGTAAACAGCAGGTCTTAAAAGTTACAGCTTTAAGGAATAAAAAAAAAAAAATTAAACATAGACCTGGGAGCTGCATTCATCATCTGTTAATATATGTATGTACCACATAAACAGTGTATAATAATAACAATGTATATACCACATAAACAGTTAATTATTCTTAAAAATCATCTTCATTCATACAGTGTATTTTTAATAGTTTCAATCCAATTTAAAATGAATAAAAACTAAAAGAAATTACCAAGCTCATCATCATTAATTGACTTTTTAGGTCTGATTGATTGATATTACCTTGTACTCGTCGTTCTGCATTTCATCATGGGCCGGGTTGCGGGGCAGCAGTCTCAGTAGAGAGTCCCAGGCTTCCCTTTCTCCCCATGACACAGTCTCTCCAGCGTGTTTTGGGTCGTCCTCTAGGCCTCCTCCTGAGGGGGGGCATTCTAAATAGATGTCCGAACCCTCCTCAGCGGACTCCTCTAGATGTGGAGGAGAAGCAGCTCTACTCTGAGCCTCTCCTGAAAATAATTATCTTCACATGCTCAGATAAATAATTCAAAAGGACTGCCCTTAAAATGATACAAAAGCAGTTAATGTCCAGTTGAAAAATTACTCACATAGCCTTGGAGAAAGATACAACTGATTGAAAAGAGTGCTGTATTCTTGGAAGAACAGAAGAATTCTGTTCTAGATGTGGTATTTTATATTACACACAAATAATACTCACTGTAAAAGTCAGGGATATGTACCTTTCAGGTGAAATTTTGGGAAAATGTAGAAAATGCATGCCATTTTGATATGTTATTTATTCTTAGAAAGATACAAGGGTAGTTTTCTTATCTGAAACAGTTTATTAAAGTAGATTTGAGTGGATGGAACATTTTGATTTCTCTTATTTCATATATTAAGTTATGCTATTTATCCACAGAAAAATGTTTTTACTCAGTCTGTTTCACCTGCAAGGCCACACAATGTCTGAGTGAGGGGTTTTTGCATAGAAGGAAATATTATTCCCATAAAAAGCCAGATCCTTTCTCAAGGTTTATTCATAACATGTTACTGTTTAACCAAAGTGTCTGCATTTTTTTTTGACTCTGACTACTGCCCATTAAGGAAGATACACACTGGCCAGAACAGGGCTGATTACAATGCAATAAGGGTGGTATGATGCCTTGTTCTCTCTTCAAATGCTGACTGAGTGAAATCCATCGATCTCCGTTTATTTAACTGGAGTGAATAATTGAATACTTTTTTTACACAGCAGTAGATTAACAGATATGTATCCAGGTCTTATTAACTGGACATTTGTTTTTCATCTACTCCAGCAGACACTGATGTCTCTATGAACTTATTGTTTACTGAAGCATCATATTTTACTTTTAGGAATTCCTTCAAAGCACAGAGGTTCTGGGTTGTAGCGTTACTGTCGACTCATTTGAGGCTTTAGGTCTGACTTAAATCATTTATGAAATTTTCTTTCAGTTAATTATCTTATAAGAGAACATTATGTTATGCAGTTATATAAAAAGAATGAACCGCCGAACGCAAGCATTCAATAGTTTCGAAAATGTCTAAAGAGCATCACCTCTAAATGTCATTACGTGTTTCAGGCACAATCAAAAAAATTATCATGAACACATGATCATTACTTCATGTGTTTTACTCATTTGTGTCTCCCTCTGTTTTATGTTGCTTTTGGCCAAAGATCCATCACTTTGTTTTTAGCAATAAGTTTCAAATGAAACCTAAGGACTTCCTTCTTTGTAGTAATTATGTTTGTTTTAGGAATTAATCAGACTCCTCCTCAGTGTTGGACTCCTGTTCAAAGCTTGCTATTCAGATGTGAGGTGCAGGAATGACAGAGGAGAGGCTGTGGACTGGTTGGTGAAGATTTCCAACAATATTCTCCCCTCCGCTGAGCTACAGCTGAATAAATGATCATCTGTTTGCATTCTCACCATTAGGTATATCGTCTACAAGCTGCCCAAAATGAATGATGACGGGTTGTCGTATTTGTACATGGATGAGAGCACCAATGGGTGGCACCTCAGCAGGGAGAAAATTGACAGTACAACTGGCTTTCTAGCAAAGACACTGAAACCTCTTCTTGACTTCTATAACAGAGAGGTAACTTATAAAAACTCTGGATATTATTGAGAAACATGTGCAGCTTTTCAAGTTTAAGTGCATTCTATTTTGGTTTTTGTTCTATTTGCCTGTCAGACTGAAGGGTTTGGATACATACTCTACAGTGATCAACCTCCACCTCCCTATTCTGCTCCTTCATCATTCGGTCACAGTAAAGGTGGGCCCTATACTTTTCAATTTGTTTGCACAGAAAATTTAACATGTATTTGTTGTTACTTTGATTTAATTTCCCTCAGGTGTTGTGATGCTGGATCGCAACTTTGGACTTTGGCTTTCACACAGTACACCTAAATTTCCAACATATCAGAGTGCAAAGTTCTGGCCAAGCAGTGGAAACGTAAATGCTCAAACATTTCTTTGTATTACCTTTCCATACAAGCAGTTTAAAGAAATAAGTAAGCTACTGAGGGAGATTGATTAATTCACAACTTTGAAAAAAAAAAGAACTGTTTCATGCTATAACATGACTAAAATACTATTTAAATATTTAGGAATGCAGCTAAAGTACATCCATGCCTATTCATTTGACTCTGCAATCCCAACAACTTTTTACAATGAGCTGCAATGTGTTGCACAAAGAAGCTGCTACCCGAAAAAAGAGCCTTGGTTTAGAGTGACGAGCCTAAGCTCTGCAGATGGCCGCATTTTCACCAGTTTTGCAAAATACAAGCGCTTTGGAGAGGGTATGTTTTTGCATTGCCCCTCACCAGAAAAATGTGCTTATTTGCAAAATATTATAGATACAAAATATAAAAATTTGATAACTGTTTACCTTCTGTTTTGTCTACTTTCCAGACCTTTACTCTGGGCTAATAGTAGACCACATGCCTCAGGATATCTATGTTAAGAGCTGGGGGAAAATGCGTGACCCTTTGCCCTCCAACTGCAGCTCAAGTCTTCATCATCATGTCCATAATGTCAAAGAAGTGCAGCTGCAGGGAACGGAGAAGTTCACCGATACGGTGGATCACTCTAAGTGGTGTGTGACTTCAGATGGTGGCTGGATATGCATCGCTGATATGAACAGAGAGGTCAGTCAGAAGGGCAGAGGAGGAGGAGCGATTTGCACTGAAGATACAACAGTTGGAACAGCTTTTAGGAAACTGATCCGAAAATTTGAAGGATGTAAAGAAACCCATCATGAAAGAGAACTCTAAAACCACAGCAATCACTAACATTAACCACTGTTACTCACAATCAATGCATGCTTATTAGCTTGTGTTTTTATCTAACATTGGTCAAACATGCATAGAAAAATATCTACCTGATGCATTAATATAAAACCACTAATTGTAAGTATTGAGAGGAGGGATTTGTAATATTTTTGGGGTATCAAAATAGAGAATGGTGTAGGTGAGGCTTGGAGCTATGCCCCATGTGCAACATTTTTATGAGGGAACAAAGACAAGGATTTCATGGCATATACTTTTATTATAAGATAATTAAAGCTTAGAATAGATAGCTTAGAATCCTGAGGCTCTGAGTTCAAGCCCCACTACAGACTGCCACTCTGGGTCTCTGGGCAAGACTCTTAATCCCACACTGCTCCCCGGGTGCCCCACAATGGCAGTCCACTGCTCCCGAAGGGGATGGGTTAAATGCAGAGGTAAATTTTTCCAATGTGAAGTCAATAAAGTTCAATTACTATGATTTTTAAGTATATTATACTGTACAGACTAAATGGATAGTTTAATTAGGGCATACCTTATCCTTCAACTTGTATTTAAAAGCATGTAAATAACTTGTTCAAATGCTCTCTTTAATTGTGTTTTATTTCTGTGATGCTTTTTTATCTATGTGTACAGTAAAGCCCTTTTCATATCACTTGTGGGTCTGGATTTCCAAATAGTTTCAATAAAGCAACTGTACTGTACTTTAACTGTACATGTTTTAATAACTGTTTTTCTCGATTTTTGTCAAGTGCAAGTGTTTTTTTCCCCCATTTGACTGCATGTATTGTGTTTTTTTAATCAAAAATTTTAGCTTGTTTGGGAAAAAGTATTAATTGACAACTAAATCAGAAACTAACGGGGAGGGGAAACAAACTGGCCAAACCCACAACATTAGCTGGAGATGCATTAAGGTGAACAGTCATTTTTAAGTGACTGCACTGAGAAGTGTTTTTACCAAAAGTATGATATGGATTTTTATAGCGCCTAATTTCTTATAGTGGTTTCAAAGTTTGATGATTTTTTTTATGGGCAAAACTTTAACAGCTAATCCTAAAATACTTTAAAATGTTGAATTTCAGAATAAAAATATGAATCAGTTAAGCCATCATTGTTAAGCCTTTTGTGTTGATCTTGGTATTTAATAACAAAGTTATCAATTGAAAACTTAAAAAAAAACAACTGTCTACATTATGAAGATATTGGTCAAAAGTGTGATTTTTTTTTTATCTATAAGATTTTAAAGACCTTGTCATACTGAGACAAACACTAAGCATTCATTCAGGAGGAAATATTAGGAAAGACGTTGAATTAGATAATCATCAGAGTTTGTTTAGGTTATTTAAGTATGGAATAGATGTTCAGTTCTGCTGGGTTTCAGCACACGAAGGTGTGAGAGGAAATTAAATAGCAGACAAGATAGCTAAGGCTTTAGGAAAGCAGAATAAACTGTAGATCAGATTCCATTTGGGAAAGTGGAAGGTAAATCAATAATTAAAAAAGACAGAAACAGAATTATGGCAAAAAAAATGGGATGAAGACGAGAAAGGAGGATTATATGGGGTTCAAAAATCTGTAATTGTTAAAAAATTATGGAGAAAGAAGCAGAAGGGAAGAAATAATGTATAGTAGATTAAGAACTGTACATACCTACTTGAATGAGTTCTTGTTTGTAATAGGGAAAAGAATTATTTATATATGTGAGGCTTGTGAAAGAAAAAAAATGTGGATCATGTTTTGATGGATTGCATTAAATATGCAATTAAAGAGAGGGTATGAGGAACGTAATTATGGAAAAGGGGAGAGAATGGAGTATTAAAGTATTTTCAGGGACAGATGGAGATAGGGGGGAAATTTGGTTATTAATAAAGCATTGTTTTTATTTTTACATAATACAAAAATAAAAACATAGTATATAGTAGGAACCATTGAGATACACCCTTATGTACAGTAGGTGGCGGTATGCACCTATGAGTTTTTTGCAAAGGCAAACAGTACACCTCCTTACCGCTAGGGATGCCATACATTTAGTGCTACACTATTTATTCACCTCTCATCCCAGGAAGTGAACTGATTCCGAGCGACTCTCTTCTACACATGTGAGAGGATCCATAACAGACCGGAGAAACACAGAAGATGGATATTTCAGAGGTTCACTCGAATCAAGGCAATAAAAGCAAGAAGAAAAAAAACAAGAAGACAGTGAAAGCCAAGGCGAAGGTTAAAAATCCTGAAGTGAAAGAAGAGAGCAGCACCGTGGAGATGAAGACCGAGCCAGAGGCTGCGTTTCCCCCCACATTTAGTGTCTCCGAGATCAAGAACAAACAACGTAGGCACCTCATGTTCATGAAGTTTAAGCAGGAGAAGAGGAAGGTAAACTTTCTAGGAGTTACCAAAGCAGTGATTATACGATATTAACATTTCACTGAGCTATATTTATTCACTGGGTTGTTGATAGGCTGTTAGTAGCACACGGTGCTGTGACGTCAACAGCCGCCATATTGGTACTCCCTAGGTAGACCGGTCGGAATGTAAACAATTGGTTACAGTATCCAACAACGATTATGTTCTTATATTCAGGGGGCCTTAACCCCTTGAACCCTACGGACCCGCCGGCGGGTCCAGCTGCTACGTGACCTCGTAATTTTACCAAACCCCCAGTATTGATGTAAAAAACCTATTTGGCACAGTTTGGTGACATTTATGGATAAATGTGCCAAAATGGCCTCTCCGCCTAAGAAATTTCTCACTAATACCATTCTAAAATAAATATGATTCATCTGATTGAGTCCAAATTTGGTATATTTTTACACAACATTTAGATTTGAAAGTCTGTACTACTTTTTTGTGCTATAAATAATATTTTGGTAGTGTTTTGCAATGTTTATTTCAAAGAAAATTTTGGCGAGGTTCAAAAATGCAAAATATTTTGTATTTTGTCACTAATATTTCAGGCAGGGTCAAAGCTACAATGGTGCTGACACCAGAAAACCATTCTATGACATCTTACCTTTACAGACGTACCAAAAGTTTCTTCTTAAATCTAATAGCTTTGAGGCTATAAGTTATTTACTTTTGTGTATTTTTGTCAGGCAGAAATTTATTTATACCCCCTTAGGGTGTAAGAGGTTAAGACTTAAAATAAAGATATATTCATCCCTTGCACACTGTTTTTATAGAATCAATAGATTACTGTCATTTATGGTACAAAAATAAAAATAATGATAAATAGGCACATCACATTGCATATTCAGAGTCCATGAAGTCTATAATTTATGTAATATAACATATTATATAAATCCATCATAAAACAATTGTTTTTTAATGGAGTGTAATACTTTAGTCAGATATAAAAAACATTGCACATGCACACTATCTGATTATGTGCCAAAAGTGCTAAATTGATAATGCACATGTAATATATATATATAGGGTTGGGAATTGATAAGATTTTCACAATTCCGATTCCCTTATCGATTCTGTGAAACGATTGGATTCTCTTATCGATCTGTTAACGATGATCTTGGAATGTGCATGGTGACATTCATCTACCTCGCCTGGGACATTCTATTTCTGCATGCCTCAGCGAAAACAGTAGGCAGTGAACCGGAGCTGCCAGCCTTTGAGCCAGCCAGGCTGCCTGTCTCGTCACAGTCTTTTAAATCTAATGGAGAAGGCATTGGTTTAATGAAAAACCGTTTTGTACAATGCGAGCGTCACCTTTCTCTCGCTTCCTGAACTGCGGAGCAACTTCGATTTTTTTTTTTTTACTTTTATGGAACTTTTTTGCATGTTTAATGACCCCAAAGAGAGCTAGGAAACTGGTTTATTTCCAGAAATGTCATATGGTTTACTAGGAACCACATTAAGCACAGCCAGTGATATAAAATTAGCTACTTACCATCAGAGTTGCCTTCTATGCTGGTGGTAACTTTAGCTTCTGTCCAGAAGCATCAAAAACTTACATTTGTTAAAATGTATGCCATGTTGTGTGCGAAGGTGTTTCTGCACGTTGAATGTATTTCCTCCCGCAGAGGTAATTGCCACTTTGCAAAGATTGTTTTCATCTTTCTCTCCCTTAAAATGAAGCCAAACTTTCGATCACTTTACCCGATGGGACGCCATTTTTTTTATTTTGCTTTTCTAGATACACGCCTGGTCACGTCGTACTTACCTACTGAATGCTGCGTGGTTAACTTGCGTAAAAAAAAAACGTAACGTAAGTCGTGCTGCCTGGAACCGTTAAGAGAATCGTTAAACGATCTGCCAAATGGTGCCATGGAATTTGAACACATGGAACCGGCTATTATCAGGAACCGGTTTTCGATTCCCATCCCTATATGGGAATCGGTTACACTGTTATGGTAATAACATTACATTACAGGCATTACATTACAGGCATTTTTATGGCGCAACTCCACAAGAGTTTGGAGTGCCAAGATGGCGGCAGGTGAGTTCAGTTTTTTTCGGCCTATCGGCAATCCAGTGAACAAAAATGAGATCAGTGCAACAAATACGTTACCTGCTGTTACATTACCAGATTGCGTTTTTTCTATGGGAGTGTGTGTAAAATGTTGTGTCTTTTTTATTTTGTCTTTTAGCAAAAACTCCTACTGAAGAAAAAGAGGAAAAAAGAAAGAGAAGCTCTGGGTGATAAGGTGTGTTTTACTGTTAATGGTTTTCTAATCCAGGTTTCCTACCATGTTAGCCTTTTTTAATTATTGGTTCATATCTTTGTTGTGTTATTTCCATCCAAGGCGCCACCAAAGGAGGTCCCCAAAACGATAGAAAACCAGAGAGTGTTTGATGAGACGACAGTTGATCCAGAGGATGAAGAGGTTTGGGTTTAGCTTTGCAGACAGATATGCACTCATAAAATTCCAATGTGTTTTTATTTATTTATTTATTTTTAACCAGAGTTTCTTTCTTCTTTTTTTGGTGCTGTTCTAGGTTGCTTTTGATGAGGGAACTGATGAATTTTCTGCGTATTTTAATGGGTTGACAAATCCCAAAGTGCTCATCACCACATCAGACAGACCCAGAGGGGTGAGAAGCTGCTGGTTTTCAACACCAATCAGAGTTTGACTAGTTTTAAATTGAGTTTTTCCTTAAAAAAAACCCGTTACTAGTTTAAGGATCATGTAAACTTTTTTTGTGGATACGTTGCTATTTCGATTCATATGTAATGTTTATAGGTAGCATTAGTATTTAAAGGAATAGTACACCCAAAACATGATTAGCCTTCATTTTCTACTCACCCCCATGCTGAACAACACCCTGGAGTCCTTTTGTGATATCTCAAATGCATCTGGAGATCTGGGAGGCTTCTTGCTGTCTGCTGACATTCAAATAATGGAGGTGCCCAGCGCCCGAGGCAGAAAGGTCCATAAAAGTCCACAAAAAACGTTTCAATATTCCTCCATACTGCTCGTCCAATGTATTCCAAGTGTCCTGAGTGGGTAGCATCCAGAATTTACTCGAAACTAAGTCATTTAGAATGTTTTTAGAGCATAAACAGTAGTGTATAGGATTTCCTGAAAGACATTTTTCTTTCGTTGTTTCTTTCTTTGCACAGGTAAACAGCACATTTCTTCTTCTACGCTTGCATTATTGGCAGAGCAGACGCTGAATGCGCACTTTCATCTGGTTTGGTCTGCCGGCTTCCGTAGCGTCGTGAACGCGCATGTGCGCGCTTTCAGGAAATCCTATACACTACTGTTTATGCTCTAAAACATTCTAAATGACTTCGTTTCGAGTAAATTCTGGATGCTACCCACTCAGGACACTTGGAATACATTGGACAAGCAGTATGGAGGAATATTGACACGTTTTTTGTGGACTTTTATGGACCTTTCTGTCTCGGTCACCATAGACCTCCATTATTTGAATGTCAGCAGACAGCAAGAAGCCTCCCAGATCTCCAGATGCATTTGATATTTCAAAAAAGTACTCCAGGGTGTTGTTCAGCATGGGGGTGAGTAGAAAATGAAGGCTAATCATGTTTTGGGTATACTATTCCTTTAATAAAAAATGCAGTTGATAATTATTTGTCCCTAATCCAAATTAGAAGCCAGTTCCGAGTTCAGATTGTGTAACGAAAAATCTAAAACTATTTTCTGACTTAAGACTGAAGAAAATAAAATTCTTTCCATCTTGCACCATAAATGTTAAACTTTATTTGTGTCTCTTGTTTTTTGTAGAGAACAGTAAAGTTTTGTGAGCAGCTTGCCACTGTCATCCCAAACGCCTATGTTTACTACAGAAGAGGCCTCGCTCTGAAGAGGATCATACCCCAGTGTGTTGCCAGGGACTTCACCTATCTAATGGTCATCAACCAGGATCGCCAGCTGCCCAGTATCCTAAATTCATAAAGCTTTTCTGATGACCCAAGAAAATCTATTTCTCTGTTATGGGTCGTTCTTGTCTGAATTGTTAGCTGTTACTCCTCTGGCTGTACTTATCCTTATTGCAACAGCTTTCAGAGAATCCACGCTAAAACAACAGATTGGATTGGAATAAATATCAGCTAATTATATGAATAAATGAATACCTGGGATTTGAATGCAACAATCCCAAAGCAGACCAACAATAAGTCTGTTTTTTATTTAATTTATTTTCATTTTCTACTGTCGGCATCCTTAGCATACATTTTAAGATGGTTTGGTTCTTTGTCATCTTCCCGATGGGCCTACTGCTCACTTCAAAGTAAGCAGTGTTCGACTACGAAAAGAGATAAAGGCAAGTTGGATTCTTACTTTCTTACATCCGTACTGTTCAGGCTTTGTTGGAGAAAAAGTCTGAATTCTTATTTTATAAAACTGCAATGTATTCCTTTACAATATGAAGAAAAGCCTGAAGTGTGTGGGATGTTGGTTCTAGTACTTTCCTCATCTGGATAGTTATGGAAAATAATTTGTTTTTATGTACACAACTGTTTCAATATGCTGTCCGTTCATCTGCCCATTATAAGCATTTAATAATGGGTTAAAATGAATCTGACATAAACAAATATGTATACAACCTCAGCTTAGAGGGCTGAAACAATTAATCTGATTAATTGATTATTGAAATAATGATCTACTAATTTAGTAATTGGTTAATCGTTAACTGGAGGATGGAGACTCTAAAACATGCCGTAAACTGATAGAGCAGTAGTTGTACCATATATAAACATTTTGCATTAAAGGTTAAAAAAAAAATAAACATATTTGTCTGTCGATATGCTATTTGCAGAACTCCTCAAGTTGAAGAGTTTTAGTTTCATTTGGTTTAAATTCTGCAAAAAATCTTCTTTAAGAAACCTTTTCCTATCCGAATATTAATCGATAGAGGTAAAAATTGTTAACAGATTAATCGATTAGCAAAATAAATGTTAGCTGCATTCCTACTCTTTTCTGATTTCAAACTAATTTGTTCTTGATATTTTAGGTAGGCCTAATTAATAAAGGACTAAACTTAAGCCTCCCACTTGGCTCCCATGCTGGCTGTCTGAGGTTCATTTGTGCTGATCGTTTACTGAATTCTTTGTTTTTTAGAGAAGAGGCAAAGAGCCGACCGAACACTATCCAGAGGTGATTCTCAACAACTTCACCACCCGCCTTGGACACAGCATAGGTCGTCTGTTTGCCGCTCTCTTCCCGCAGAACCCTCAGTTTGTGGGCCGACAGGTCGCCACCTTTCATAACCAGAGAGATTTCATCTTTTTCAGATTCCACAGGTAAATGTCAAGCTGCAGCATGCACACGTCCTTCTATTGGTAATGTTCAGTGATTGAGTGGCTTCATGTTTTACTTGGATCAAATAACAAAATCATAGATATTGGCAAAAAAAATTGATGATTTTTTAACTTCTGTGCTTTATTAAATATTTCAGCTTCTGCTACACGCATATTTTTCCAGAATGGACAAATTTCCCAAACTGCTAAGTTTTTTTTAGCAAAATCTATTAAGCATAGGTTGAAAAATGATGCTAACAGTCGTCAACCAGTGTATTTAAATTTGCTATTTCTAAAATTTGTTTTTATTTATTTAAACACCATAAAATAAATATGCTGCAGCATTATAATTTTTCTAGTTTAGTCTAATATCTGTCGATGATCTTTAGACCCTTCACCTGTTAATCCATGATCCCGGGAGGGGGGGGCTACAACTCAACCTTTGGGGGTCAGTGGTCTAAAGCAGAGATCTTCAGCGTCCCCCTAGTGGGTCGCAGAGGTACTGCATATCTTAAAAAGTCTTTGGATCTGTTTCCCAAAACAGAGAAAATGTCAGACCAGCTTCTTCACAAGCTCACAACAGAACCGTTTGTCTCTTGATCAGAATGATAGCTGGACATTACGTTCCTGTTGATGTTTGCATATTTTTCTCTAAACCTCTGAACAAGGTGCATTCAGGCAGGCAGAAGTGGTATCGAAAAGGGAAACCAGAGTTGAACTACTGTTACGGTCCTGCTCTCTTGACTGATTTTATCTTTTTTTCTATTTTAAATTAACCAACTAGAAGCTTTTAAATCTAAGACAAAAATTCCCAAAATGCGTAACAGCAGTAATCTTACATTATATAAATAGCTCAATATAAATGAAATAGAATATTTTATCATCCTGGCATATTGCATTTTTTAATCCACATTAGTGACCTGAAGCATGTCATATTTGGACTCGTTTTTTTTTGTCTGACACTGTATATGATTGTGTCTTTTTGTACTTTGTAAACATCAGGAAAAGACGACTCAGTTTTAAGTTCTGCTCTTTTATGGTCGGTTCTCCATCATGACCAAAAGCTTTACTGCTGACTGTATGTAACCATGGTCCCAGCTTCAGCATGAATTCTTCTAAGCTACTCCCTTCCCATAAGACTTTAGGGGGAGACCTCTTCAGATTTAGCCCTGTGCTAAATAACGCTTCTAACCTTTGCCTGCAAGATGACTTATCGGTATTTGTGCAAGTATCCATCGTGTACCACTTCAGCTGAAATCTTTGGAACTAAATCATCTTGCAGTATTAATCAGTAAAAAAATTGAAATTTTCCAGGCTATTAGTGGAAACAACCATCAGCTGTGAGCTCTCTGAGCAAAATCTCAGAACAGCAGTTAAAGGGGCAGGACAATCAATCTTATTGGCTGATGTGAAATCAGCCTGTGCCAGCTATTGGTTGTTTAATCTGTCACTGAAAACAATCGCTAAAGGCATATTTCAAAGTTTTTAAAGATTTTTAGCACTTTTTATCTATATTTATGAACATATTTATTAACTTATTTTTTACTTTATAATTTTTGTTAACTCTTATTTTAGAATAAGACATGAAATCCATACATTTTAAGTAGAACAAGTATTGTAGAAGAAGATATATCAAGATCCATACCCTTTTTTTTTTTTTTTTACTTGTGGTTTTAACACTGGGTTACATATAGCTGTGATGAAGCCAAGAGACCAAAACAAACACGGCAGTGCAGGAGGATGTATAGTTTTCTGCTTTTCTTTGAAAGAGGTCTCCAAGAACATAGCAGGTTGTTGTGGTTTCTCATGGCGTCTGCTGCTATTTAAATGTTTCTGTGTTTGGCTAAAACCAAACCTTGGTAGGCAGGACGGTTCTGCTGAATGGCACTTCTTTGCCCTAAACCGATTCAATAGAAGAGCAGTCTCAGAAAAATATGTGTAACTACACATTATCTTTCTGGCTTGCTAGTTTATAAAATTACCATAAATTGGAGAAAATGAAGGTAAGGTTAAATAAAAAATAAAGATTTAAATAAGAATGTAAATATGTTTTTTTTTATAAGGTACATCTTCAAGAATGAGAAGAAAGTTGGCATTCAGGAGCTGGGACCTCGCTTCACTCTGAAACTCAGATCTTTGCAGAAGGGCACATTTGACTCAAAGTATGGGGAATACGAGTGGGTGCTGAAGGTGAGCCTGTTAAATAAGAATTTTAATAACTTTTCAAAGGTTTATAATGAAAGCATGTTTGCTTAAAATTGCATGAATAAGACCTGTTATTACAATCTGATCAATTTTAGAATTAAAACCTGCCCATGTCATTTACACTGCTCCATTTGCACACTGCTGTATTTGAACTCCTTGTATGATGCTATTTTACTTTTTTATATTTTATATCCATATTTTTATCTTAAGTGTATATATTAGTCTATTTTATTGCATGCCTTTTACCCACAGTGTTTTAGATATTTTTATAATTTTATTTACCTATTCCATATTATATGTTTCATGTTGCACGATTGTACCACAAAAAATTCCTAGTTTGTGAACTCCTTCACTAACAATGGCAATAAACCTGATTCTGAAAATAGGTGCACTTTGGAAAATGTCAAATATGAATTTTCATTTCTTTAAGTGTAAAATAAAAATATTTCTCTTTCAGCGCCATGAGATGGACGCCTGCAGGCGGAAGTTCCAGCTTTAAGTTCCTGCTTCCTGTAATCAGACCATGTCCAACTAATGTGTGGATTTGTGCAAAATTGCTCCACTGTACCTCAGATTCTTAGGAACCTGTGATAGTTGCTTAAAGATCCAGCTTTAAGTCATGAGGTGGCGTTACCATGTTCATTTCATATTAAACTGTATAAATGAGTTATTTGAAGATGACTTAAATGGTGAAGAGTGTGAGATGGAAGAAGAGACATGTCTATTTCTTACAGGCTCTCCGTGTCATAAATTCAACACATAATGTACATACTTTTTGTTTTTTAAGCCCTCATGTTTTGATCCAGTGAAGTTTAACCCATTTTTAAGATTGTGTATAAAAAGTACTTTTATGCTGAAACAAGGATTTATTTTTCACACATCAGAATATACCTACATGGTGTCTGAAGGTCTCCTCTAAAAAGGTGTCAGCTGTTATAAGGCAGACAATACAGCCTGTAGGCATAGCTTAGAGCAGAATGTTTATATTTTAACACAATTTGGTGGAATGTGGTTTTATGTGTGCTAATGGGGTGAGCTCTGCAGACCTAAAAATAAAAAATGTAAAATGCATCCTAATCAGTCACCTGAACCACCTCAGCAACTCATTTAAGGTTGTTCTGCTGCAAGGTTCCCCAGGATAACAGACATTCCTATCATTTTAAAGAGACTCATTTCAGTTGCTTGAATTTTGTTGATTTATATTATCACAGCATGGATAAAGTTGAGGCTCTAAATTAACTAAGTTTTTAAGATGCAATAGAGACACTAGAGACAGATTCAGGTTCTGTTCCAATCTGACCTTTTAGTAAATACATATATTCATGTGAACAGATTGTTTTAAGTTCAATTTGCATCTTCCATCTTGAGAAATAGTGCCTTTATAATATAAGATGCAGATAACGTACTCATCAAAGTAGATTTAGTAGATCAGGGGCTAAATTTGACTTAACATCTAACATTATAAAAAACAGCCAGATGTATATCAAACTGAAAGTTTTGTCTATGTAGGTATTTTTTTTGGGGGGGGGAACCATGAAGTTGAAGTAGAATGGCTCTACCTTACCACAGGTAAATAAAACTGGTTTTCCTCAGAAGTTTATCAGCATGACTGACTGGAGACACATGTTTTAACATAACCTGCTGGAGAAAAGGCAACAGAAAAATATAGATGGAAATGGTGATCGAACTAAAGTAGAATCTAGCTTTAGTCACAGTATGGGGAAAACAATCCACTTTAAAAAAAAAAAGCCGCTTAAAACATGTTACAACACGAGTCGGCTTCACCTTCAGGGTTCATGCATGCTTTTCTGCAGGAATTTGTTTCAGTGCAGAGAAACAGATTTACAAAGTGATACAATCTCATCAGGAGTTGAATTTCTAAAGTCTTTAATATTAGAAATAACGCAATTTCCCACAGCTTTAAGTGAGTAACTTGATACAGCTGCACTAGCTTCCCTGGAGCTCTTGATCTGCAATCTTTCTGTGGAATCAATCCTAGATAAACCCATTATACACTTTGACAACTTTGTTGATATCCCTCATTTAAAGAAAAACCCACAATGCTCACAGAAATTGCTCAACAAATTAAAATATTCTCAAAAAAAAAAAAAAAACAACACCAAGTAATTAATTGCTTTTTCATGCTTCAACAGAATAATTTCGTGGTAGTTTAACCGTTTCATTCAGGTGTGTAGGGAAAAGATCTAAAATTAGCAGAACACCGGTGTTCTGTTGACAACATACCCATAGTCAATAAGCATGTGCAAGATGTTAGATTTGCATGTGAATGCTAGTCCCGTTAATCCCTTTAGTTTTGTATGAAAAAACTAAGGTCAGATCACCAGATGCTTCAAAAAACATTTTTTTTAAGTACATGACTAAAGGGATACACGCCCATTGAGGTAGTTGAAAGTGTATTTTTCATGCAAAGCTAAAGGGATCAACAGAGATCACACTATGAGTATGCTGATCTAACGAGCGCCGGTGTTAGATGAACATCCCCATTTATTCCTTTAGTTTTGTATGAAAAATACACTTTAAAACTACCTCAACTGGTTTGTATCCCTTTAATCATGTACTAAAAAATGAATTTTTGGTGTTTTTTGAAGCATATGGCAATCTCACCTTAAATTATTATTTTTTGTATGACTTAAGGAATGCACACCCCTTCAGTTTAAAAGTCTATTTTTTGTACAAAACTAAAGGGATAAACGCAAATCTGACATCTTGTGCATGCGTATTGACTGCTGGTCTGATTGGTTATGCTCGTCTGACAGAACACCGGCCCTCAAGGACGCATCCCCACTCAAAAGAAATCTAAATTAATTGGCTGAATCCCTCATTTCTATATGGTTTACCATGCAAAGATCTATAAACAGTTGTGCACCACAAAATAATAATTTTCTTGTCTGTTCTTGGCAGCTGCTTTTAAGTTACATTGTCAAGGCAATAGAAAAACAAACATGGAGCTTTGCAACTAAAAATTAGGAAACAGTTTAGTTTTATTTAGAGATTAAACATTTACATTTCAGAAGGCACAATATGTGTTAGTTCTATGCAGGAAGGCTGAGACATTTATTATGCACCAAAAAAGTTTTATGATAAGGTTAAAGTTAAAAAAGCTCAAGTGAGAGTCCTGGCTCAAATTTCCAAGACTCCTGAGACAATTCCAGTCCATTTTGAAGAATCCTGCAGCTCAGCTTAACAAGGCACGTTGTCCAAAACCTGGGGAAAAAAATAAATAAATACATTCAATGGAAGGCGGGGAAGTAGTGCAGATATCTACATTTTACAGGTAAAAACCACAAATTAAGTCCCACTTCTAGTATAGAACTGAACCAGCATATATTCAGATTGTGTTTCCCAAAAGACAGCTTTTTGACAGGCCTTTAGTCAACGACTGGTGTCGGCATGCCTTAAAACTGGAAAACTAAACTGGATGATCTGAATAAAGTCAGAATTAGAGGGTTTCAACCTCAAACATAAAAATATAGTAAAAATCAAATTTTCCTAAAGAAGACTCTAGTTTAACAGATACTTTTCAGTTTCCTCATAAACACACATCCTCAAAATTATGAAAGATCTTTTTTTACAGGCAACATTTCTTACTTTTGAAACTAAAAATTAGTGATAGTTTAAAATCTCATTGTACCATATGTGGTTGTCTGTGCTTAATGCTTCAATTTGATTTGCCAGACAGATTATCAAATCTAATGATTACTTGTTTAAGACTGGTACACTGAGTTTAGGCTACTAAACTGGTGACGCAACTACCTCTGCCAGGCTCAAAGTCTTCCTTTATCAGCTCTCTTAAAAAAAAAAAAAAAATCCTCCTTCAGCTTTGATCTTGCACAAGTTTTTACACCCTCTTATTAAAAAAAAAAAAAAAAGTTTAATGTTAAATTAAATGCAGTTCTATCATGTCTTTGGTGACTTTATAGCGATTTATAAACAATTAGGTAGATGGCCTATTTTTTGTGAATTTGATAAAATAATTGCTACAGTAAAACATTAAAAAATAAAGTTAATTTTTTAATTTGAACCAGTCAGGTGTGTTTAATTCTCTAAAGGAAAAGTTGAAACCAAGTGCAGCACTAATAGTAAATCTCAGAAGCTTGGAGAAAAAGGGGGTGGAATAATTGTGTGGCATTAATATTACAAAATAAACACAATTAAGATGTAAAATGACGAAATGTTAAAGTTTTCCAACTGGTTTTAAACAAAAACAGTAGTTTTTTTCTGCCTGTCATTCATAAAAGATCTGTGCTATGGTGTGGATACTCACAGCCTGTGGTACTATAGGAAGGAGCAGACCTTCTGCGGTCTGAACGGGTTGTTGCTGGAGGACATGCCGGTGAGCAGAGGGTCCTGCTGGGCGTTCTGAAGGCAAAACTGCTGGAGGTCTGCAGCGGCCTGAGACACCTACAGGAATAAGACCAAACGTTTAAAAAAAGAAAGCAAAAAAACATGTTTCTATTATACCAATAGCACATGTATTACAGCTCAGACTATTTCGACAAACTGAAACACACCGAACAATAAAGATAACACGCCCAAGCACAGCCTTATTGTCTAAAACTCACCTTTACTCTATGTATACCCGCTTCAAAACGCAGCTGTTGAACAACTTTTTTCATAGCGACGATGTTTGCTGGTCCCGGCATTTTACTGCGACCTGATAAGGCTTAAAAAGTCAAATAAGAAGTGTCTATGACTTCACCGGAGCCAGTTAACTTTTTTAGCTACCAAGCTAGCCCTTTTCCTCGGGAATAAACTTCCGGTTTTTTTTTTGTATTTTTTTTTTTTTTTTTAAAGGCGTGCCTGCTTGTGATGCATTCAGGCACTATTCGGAAATTTGAAATATTTTAGATCTAGTTTGCTCGTGTCTAAATTTTCACATCTATATACATATGGATAAATATGAAATATAATGTGCATGTATTTCAAAAACTGAACAGGAAAAGGTTCTGTACTGATGCCCCAAAGCAGTTCTGCTATGAAACAGAACAACAATTTTGAGAACGCTGGTAAGAAAGTTGCATTAACGGATTTTTTAACTAATCAAAAAAAGTGTATAATATATATATATATATATATATATATATATATATATATATATATATATATATATATATATATATATATATATATATATATATATATATATATATTTTTTTTTTTTTTTTACTTTATATATAGATATATATGTATATATATGTATATATATGTGTATATTTATATATGTATATATATACATATATATGTATATATATATATAAACATAAATATGTATATATATATATATATATATATATATATATATATATATATATATATATATATATATATATATTATACACTTTTATATATATATATATATATACATGTATATACACTTCTTTTTTTTTTTTTTTCTGTCCTGAAATGTCAGTGCCATAATCAGCTCCATAGCAACAGAGGCTGGCGCCCTTATACGAGAAACACAGTTGTGTTTAATCGTAGCATATTGCTTCCAGGCAGTCTCTGGTGTCACACAGCAGATGCAAACACAACTCTACCCATAGCAAATACCCACAGCCTTTCTTCAGTTCAGTGTTTTACGGCTTTACTTGCTCTGAACCAGACTAATAATGGAGGTGTCTGGTGAGTCAATGAAATATACAGAGGACAAACTGAGACCGGTCAGCAGCAAGGTATGCTTTATATACTTTTCGAGATGTTAAAAAAATGTAGGCTAAGCAAAGCAATCGTCTATGGTGTACCCTTAAATTAATCGATTTTCTTTGTGTAGTTTGTGGAGCTCCATGTGCTGTTTGCACCAGCTGACCTATGGAATATGAAACTCAATAAAGTTCCAGCTGAAGCCACGGAGGGCTTTATTTCTGCTGGCTTTATCAGGTGAAAGTGCATCAAATGTTTAATCAATATTAGAGTTCAAAATGATAAAAGGTAGTTTTAAATAATGTCTATTAAAGCCGTATGGCACTTTGCAGGAGTATGTTCTAAATCATTTTCACATTTTCTTACAGATCAGCCACAAACGTTGATGAATTATATTAGAAATTAGCTTTATGGTTTGATATAAAGTAGTATATTATACCTGGGTGAATGAAAAAGATCAGTTTTTGTTTTTTGACTAATAAAAAAGAGGAAAGTAGGATGTGCACTATTGAGTTCTTGTAACTAATAGTTTTGGGAAACACCCTTTACTGTAACAGCTGGATGTCCTCTGGGGGTTTGTCTACCACTTTTTTTTCACATCTAGAGACTAAAACTTCAGTTTTATTAAAATAAAGTTCAGGCTCGGTCTAGAGATGTCCCGATCCAGGTTTTTGGACTTCCGATCCGATACCGATACTGGCCGATACCAGCCTATCCGAGCATGTATTTAAGTTTAAGTTAAAGTATTTAGCCTTAGTTGTAAGACTCATGTTGAAAAGGGTTTTAGTACTCTTGATAACATCTAGCCAGCTAAATTAGGTGAGATTGAATAAAACACAATGCTTGGTAACAACAAACTTACCTGTTTATTAAGAGATAAACACAAACTGGACAAAATTATGAATAGCAATCTGAAATTGCACAGTGAACAGTAAAACCGTAAACAGTTAAAGGTGCAAGTATTACTGTAAGTTTTAATAAAAATGCAAAACAGGGAAACACTGGCGCAAAATAGTGGAATGGATCATTTCAATCGGCGAAATTGGAAAATACGGACCGGATTTTTTTTTAAAAACTGGATCGGCAGTCTGGATTGGCATTTTACATGCTATGCCGATACGCATTTTTTTGCCAATATTGGCGTCCCAATCCGATACGTGGATCGGATCAGGACAAGCCTAGCTCGGTCATCTGTTAATATCAGTCTTCAAATCTTGCTGCAGGCTCTCCACTGGTATTGGGTCCAGAAATTGACTGGGTTATTTAACATTTTGATATGAAACAATTCAAGCTGTATGTTTAGGGTTGTTTTTCAGCTGGAAGGTAACTTTTTATTTGAATCTTAAGGGGTTTCCTTTTCCTTTTCATTCACAAATGTATTAAATGTATCATTTTATAGAGATTTTTGGTAGGAATTGGTTAAACTTCATTTAATTTAAGACTATCAGAATAAAGGGGACAGAATACAAATGCACGCCACACTTAGATTTTACTTCATGAACAATTCTGAGAATGTACCTTCTCTAATTTTACTAATTCATATGATACTCAGTATTATTTGACGCATTAAAATTGCAATAATATATGCTTGTTTTCTTTGTAATGTGACAAAAGTATCAATGCATTGAAACAGTTTGTATATTTTTGCAATGCCTTATCCTGTACAAAAATGTCCTTGTTTTTTTTTTCACTTGGTAAAATCCTTTTATATATACAGGTGCTGGTCATAAAATTAGAATATCATGAAAAAGTAGATTGATTTCAGTAATTCCATTTAAAAAGTGAAACTTGTATATTATATTCATACATTACATACAAACTCATATATTTCAGATGTTTATTTTGTTTAATTTTGATGATTACAAATGACAACAAATGAAAATCTCAAATTCATCATATCAGAAAATTAGAATATTACTGAAGACCAATAAAAACAAAGGATTTATAGAAATGTTGGCCAACTGAAAAGTATGAACATGAAAAGTATGAGCATGTACAGCACTCAGTATTTAGTTGGGCCTCCTTTGGCCTGTATTACTGCAGCAATGCGGCGTGGCATGGAGTCGATCAGTCTGTGGCACTGCTCAGGTGTTATGATAGCCCAGGTTGCTCTAATAGTGGCTTTTAGCTCTTCTGAATTGTTGGGTCTGGTGTATTGCATCTTCTTCTTCACAATACCCCATAGATTTTCTATGGGGTTAAGGTCAGGAGAGTTTGCTGGCCAATTAAGAACAGGGAAACCATGGTCCTTCAACCAGGTACTGGTAGCTTTGGCACTGTGTGCAGGTGCCAAGTCCTGTTGGAAAATGAAATCTGCATCTCCAAAAAGTTGGTCAGCTGCAGGAAGCATGAAGTGCTCTAAAACTTCCTGGTATGTGGCTGCGTTGACCCTGGACCTCAGAAAACACAATGGACCAACACCAGCAGATGACATGGCACCCCAAACCATCACTGACTGTGGAAACTTTACACTGGACTTCAAGCAACGTGGATGAAGTGCCTCTCTTCTTTTCCTCCAGACTCTGGGACCTTGATTTCCAAAGGAAATGCAAAATTTACTTTCATCAGAGAACATGACTTTGGACCACTCACCAGCAGTCCAGTCCTGTTTCTCTTTAGCCCAGGCAAGACGCTTCTGACGCTGTCTGTGGTTCAAGAGTGGCTTGACACAAGGAATGCGACAGCAGAAACCCATGTCTTTCATACGTCTGTGTGTGGTGGTTCTTGAAGCACTCACTCCAGCTGCAGTCCACTCTTTGTGAATCTCCCCCACATTTTTGAATGGGTTTTGTTTCACAATCCTCTCCAGGGTGCGGTTATCTCTCTTGCTTGTACACTTTTTTCGACCACATCTTTTCCTTCCCTTCGCCTCTCTATTAATGTGCTTGGACACTGAGCTCTGTGAACAGCCAGCCTCTTTAGCGATGACCTTTTGTGTCTTGTCCTCCTTGTGCAAGGTGTCGATGGTCGTCTTTTGGACAACTGTCAAGTCAGCAGTCTTCCCCATGATTGTGTAGCCTATAGAACTAGACTGAAAGACCATTTAAAGGCTTTTGCAGGTGGTTTGAGTTAATTAGCTGATTAGAGTGTGGCACCAGGGGCCATCAATTTTGAACCTTTTCACAATATTCTAATTTTCTGATATGATGAATTTGAGATTTTCATTTGTTGTCATTTGTAATCATCAAAATTAAACAAAATAAACATCTGAAATATATGAGTTTGTATGTAATGTATGAATATAATATACACGTTTCACTTTTTAAATGGAATTACTGAAATCAATCTACTTTTTCATGATATTCTAATTTTATGACCAGCACCTGTATTTTTTCTGTTTATATAAAAGTGACACTAATCAAACTTTAATTATATATGTGATGCTTTGTAAAGAAATATAAAGGAGACTAAATGTAAATAGGTTGTTTATGGATTTATGATCAACTTAATTTTAAATAATTACAGCATAAAATATCAACTTAATGGAATTTTTTTTATTCAGCCATGGGTTAACTGTTTGCCTGTGACACATATTTTATCCTTGTGTCGCTTTTCCCTCCTGGTGCCGTTAGAGTTTATCCTGAAACCACCTTGCAGACTCTGAGGGGTGAGCTGGGGGCTCTCCTTGGGTCAGAGAGGAGCATCCATAAATTCTCCTTCCTGAAATGTGTTGGCCGCAGTCTGGCGCTGGTGAGTGCAGCTTGCAGTTAAGAGCCTGTTAGTAAAGCTGAATGTGTCACTATGCAGACAGTGCTCTATTCAGGATAACTATAAAAAAGACTGAAAAGGGTCTGAATGGGGAGTATAGCACTTTTACTGCTGCGCCTCTCACAATAAAATCCTTGTCTTTTACAGGTTAAAAGCAAACAGGAGACTGATCTGAAAGTGAAAACATTCGCCCCACCCTATGTATGTTCAGTCCATGGGTCTTATTGCTATCCTGCCAAGTGGATCAGTTTCTTACTTTAAGTAACTACATCTGTTCAGACCTTTAAATGAGCTGTTACCTTTCTGCAGGCGGCTCAGCCAGAGCTGTACCTGCTGCACACTCCAGAGGCAGACAGCAATTTCTGCCCCCAGTCCTTCACCCTGGATTCCAGCAGCAGCTCCCCAGAGCAGCAGGCCTTCCCCAACCTTTCCAAGATGTACGACGGAACAATGGGGACAAAGAAGCCCATTAAATTCCCTCACATAACGCAATGTTCCCGGCAACGGGTTCCTGGCTCCGGAATGGAAGAGGGACATGAAGATGAAGAAGGTGCAAACAGCTCCACCTCCTCTGATGAAGCTCTGAGTTTTATCAAGAGAACAGAGCCAGAGAGATGTGAGGAGAAGTTTGGGATTCAAAGGGCAATGCAGCTTGTTTCACTTGGAAAAGGTATTAAAGCAGTGATTCATTACCTTTTCTCAACACGATTTTGCTAAGCTATGTAAGAATGATCAACACAATAAAGAAAGAGTCTAATGAAAACTTATGGTTCTTTTAAAATAAACTCTTTCATTTTAAAAGTACTAACAGCTAGGACATTTTCATTACATTTCTTGTTTTCAAAAACCCCTAGAAACATTTATAGGATGGAAATTTGATGATACATTATATGTTTTTTTTTAAATGCTCAACACTCAATAATGTGTTTTTTCCAAAACTTTAAAACTGTTTAGACCGTCACACACACCAGACATCATATGAATGGGAGATAGCAGATCCTTATTTTCACATGGGATCTCAACATGTTTCTATTCAGTTTTTCATTTTATTGGTTTGTGCATATTTAAGATATTACTAACAGCTTTCAGATTAGTTTTTGTTTTGTTTTAATCTGTTATTATAGTGTGCTTTCTGGTGTATACCCTATATGAACATTAAGTACATATCCTGTTCTATTGTCCAGTAAATCACTAAGCAGAATATTAAAGTCTCTGTCCATTTAATACAAAGAAGAGAACAGCATCTTTTAATATTATCCTCATGTATATACATTCCAATGACTGTAATGATCACTAAAGCTATAAATATTTATCTTGGTTGATGTTAAAAAAAATATTTTGTAATTCAAAAAGTGTTTTACTACCTTTCAGCTCAGTAACGAAACTTTTAAATAGAATAACACCAATGCATTTTGTGTGTCTATAGCTTTGGAGACATGTGAGGCTGATCCAGGCCAGGCAATGTGTTCACCAGAAAATGAGGAGACCTGGAGAAAAACCAAACATCAACACAGAGACAGACTTTCACGGGCAGCTGAGTCTCTGGAGGACGGAGATTTATGTTTTTTGCTCACAGACAGGTACCTTGTGACATACTTGGAAGCCTTCTTACTATTGCCCAAATAATTTAAACCAAATACTTTCATCAGACCACACCATATATCTTAAAAAGTTCCCCGGTGGATGTTAATTCAGCCTGGACAGACATTACTCCTTGGCTCTACCTTTACCCTACTAGCCAGATTATCCTGAGCTATTTTCTTTATTTATGCTGCTATAGGCTTGGAGTGCTGAATAACATTGGGACAACCTTTCATCATTCTGCTTCGTTCTTTTTCTATTCTCCCATTCTGCATTATTGTAAGTTCCCTTCATAATTTCTTGTTTTCTCTCTGCTTTTTCCTCTCATAGTAGCTTCATCTGATCTGTTCCTGTTCAGCTCTAACTTCATCCTGGATTGAAATATCAGTTGTGGCCATCAACATCTTTGTTTATACAGTATATGTTGGAGCCTGTTTTTCAGTGTAGTCCTGTTTCTTTTACTGTGACTAACTGTATGTGCTCTCTTTCATCCTCTGACATGAGAATTGGCAGGAAGCTTATTTGCCTGGCTGTGTGTTTCCTGGACGGCACCACCTGTAGAGCTAGTTGACAGTTGCCTTTTGTATATCTGCTTCTTTCTGTACGTCTGCTTCTATCTCCTTGAACCCCAGTTGGCTCCGGCAGATGGCAACTCACACTGAGCCTGGTTCTACTGGAGGTTTCTTTCTGTTAAAATGTAGTTTTTCCTCTCCACTGTCACTACATGAATGGTTGGTGTGAGGGATTGCTGAAGAGTCAACAACAAAATACAAGCTAAAATTATCACCACAAGTTCATCCAAGAGGAGCATGCCCTGCAAGTCAATGACTCAAATGCAATCAACTTGTTTTCTTTGACAGAAACTTTTAGCCAATCTGATTGTTTTGTCCCTATAAATTGCCTTAAGTTGATGTGTGTTGTGAATTGGCGCTATATAAATACACTTAAATGGAAAAGTTAGGGTTCTTGCTGCTGTGTGTATTTGCAAACAGTAATGATCATTTTGCAGTGTATTTAGTCCTTTTATAAGAAAAATACATCTGACGTCTAGATTTTTTTCAGCTGTACTTGTATGTTTTAGTGTTGGAAAATTAAGATTGAAAGATCGACACACCGAGAGCTGCATCACGAAAATAACAACAAATGGGGTAACGTGCAGCCTATGTTACATATTTTCTTACAAAAAATAAATGAAAAATAAAATAAATAAGTCGGTATTTATACTGTAACTAAATTAATTTCTTGTTTTAGGTGTTGGAATGTCCAGCTGTGTCTTCGCAACAAGTTCAGTGCACAAATTCACCCCAAGGTCCAGATTTGGCCAGCAGTAAAGCAGCTTCTGCCTCACTAGTGTTTCTCATAAAAAGTAAGGAAAGCCCTCATTTTTGAGCTTCCATTGTATTAATGAAAATATTTATTTCTCATAAGGAGAGGATCTAATGGAGGAAATCAAACTGGTGAGGGAGGAGAGAAAGCAGCTGGAATGGACCAGACAGCAGCTATTGTGGAAAGGAAAAGACTTGTTGGCTCAGAACCGACACCGCAGGAATCAAGGTGGGACATCGACTCCTTGGAAAAAAGTTAGACCTTATGTTGAAAAAAATATTTTGTACTACTTTTCTCCCACGTCTCCACTAATATAAAGCACGGGACACCTGGAAAAAGAAATACTTTGAAACCAAGAAGGCCACAACTCCACTGGAAGAACATCTGAAAAACTTGAGACAAGAACTGGAGATATTTTATAACAAAGTCCTGCATCAGCTCCAAGCCAGAGAGAAAGCACGGAGGCAGGGGAGGTCATCAGAAAAGGTGCAATAAAATCCACATGGTCTGCTGCACAACATAATTAACATATTAAGAACAGATTCAATTAAATAGACAAATTCATTATAGTGTTATTATAAGTGAATGAAACTGTTATTGGAGAAAACAATCCAATCAGTTAAAGGAGATGACCCAATTAGCATAATATCTAATGTATTTAATTAGTTCAAAATTCATGGCATAGCAGTTGCATTGTTATGTTAGTATTAAAATATAAACAAATCTGCAAAAGAGCACTGAATTATTAAAGCATTAGTAGTAATTTACAGGATTATAGACAGTTTAAATAAGATACATTTTTAAAACTTTCTATCTTTATTTTAGACCATCTGTAATATCAGTAAAGTTAAGAACAAGTTTAGTATTTTGTGACTCTGGTATTTAGCTAAGGTGCTTTTATACCTCTGTTACCTAACTTTATTGCCTTTATGCAGCACAGGGTGCTCCTCAGAATCATTTAAACCACATATTGAATGATCCGCTTTCAACCAAATCCTCACTAAAGAAGAAATTAGAAGATATTTCTGATCAATTTGAATTTATCCTCCTAATATTTTAAACTGAACAATTTTAGAAAGCAAAATGCCAGTTTTTGAAGCAGAAATGTAAAATGAAAATGGTAAACATAAAAAAATAAAATGACTTGGCAATAAGTCAATAACCACAAAAATCCTAATGGCGCTAAGGGACTGCTTAGCCTGTAATACTTCCATCTCATTAAGAATCAAAACTCCGAAGAGCTGATCTGTAAAAATAGGCCCTAAAACACAGAATAGCTAATTATCAAAATACATAGAAGCTGGAAATTTCATCCACGATAACACAGTATTCAAAACTTCTGTTTTAAGCCCACCTGCCTGATTTATTTCAAAACTCTAATATGGGAACAATCAAAACTTCTACATTTTCTGTTTCGTTTTTTTTTTTTTTTTATGTGTGGTTTTGGAAATCAGGATATCTCAACCATTTTACAGGGAAATATTTAGATGTGAATGTTTTAACATTCTTGGATGCTACCAAAGAGAAAGCATTCTAATTTGTTTTGGTTTGTTAATCGCAAAAATATGTTTTGGAAATAGAACGAGCTCATCATTCAGATCATGAGGGAGACCCATGAGATCGACAACCTGAAGAGGAAGCTAGAAGATTCCAAGATGAAGCTGATAACAGAGATAAAGGTAAACATAAGTCATGACTAAACACATCATTTTCCTGGATATTCTAATTTAAGACCATGGAAGATCCAAAATGATTGCAAGACAAATGTTATTCTTTGTTTTGTTTTTCCCACAAGTTGAAAGAGCAGGCTGCTACTGAGCTCAGAGACCTGAAGGCTGAACTAGCTCAAAAGAAGAATCAGTCATCTCCTTCCTGGATGGGGCGGAAACACATCATGGAGCAAAACACAAGTTAAATACAGCTTCATCAATGTCAACAAAACTGCTCTTCCAAGCAATTAAAGTAATCAAATGGGAGAAAGGTTTGCAGCAGTAAATGGGCCAAATATTCTGTAATGAGGACAGCCCAGGCGCAGAGACTAAGCAAGCGGCATGTGTTTGGACCCAGAGATCATATCATTTACTCCTCTCTTCCCTCTCATTTCCTGTTTAGCGACTTTTAAATAAAGACCAATAGCCATGGAAATCTGTTACTGTAACTTCCAGCAACTGAATTCCATTCTGTTTGTTCCTGTTTTTTTTTTCCAGTAATACAACAGTAGACAGTCTATGAAATTAATGAGTAAAAGCTTTATTAAACAACAGAGTAAAAAAAAAAAAATCAGTCTGGAAAGTTTTTTTTTTCTTAAATCAGTGCAAATAAATCTAAAATGATTGTGTTTGTTAGCAATTCACGTCATTACAGATAAAACTCAAGTTTATGTGCAAATCAGCACCCCTGATCAGGAGGAGACACCACGCCCTGTTGCCTCTACAAAATGAGTCTATTCAGGAGTGTGCTCAGTAAAAATGACCGCAGCAGCATTCAGTTCATCCCATCTTGGATCCTAACAGGGCATTCCACATCAGTGTGGTCTGCTGCCTGGCTACAGGGTCGTCACTGTAGTCCAAAATGTTGCCGTTCCACATGCCGATGCCCCTTAGGCCTTTAGCCATTACGTAGTCTGCTTTGGGAACAAGACTTTGTGGGTCATCGTACCAGACCTGATGGGTCTGTCCCGTCTCATCCTAGAAGAAACCAGTCAAAGACATATCACAACAAATATATATATATGCATTCCTTGTTTGTTTTTTTTATTAATCATTTAGGAGTAGAGTGAAAAAAAGGCACACCTTATAATAGAAGTATGGAGCTTTCTGCACATCGTCCCACAGTCTGCCGGACGATGTTGGGCTGCTGAGCTGCTTCATGATCCACTTGTAAGGTTTCTGTGTTCCCGCAGCATCGCTGCACGGAGCTCCACGGAAAGGGACTTTGGGTATGTAGCATGTACCTTCCTTGTAAGAGAAAATAAAACAGGATAGAACCGCTGAAATAAGATCTTCAGCAACGTTTCCCACAATGCAAAAGAAAAGGAAAAGCTAAGACCTAATTCACCTTCAGTTACATAAAAAAAAAAAACATTTCATTTTTGTTTCCTGTCATTAAAGGTGAAAAATATTAGTATGAGTATTACTTCTGGCATGATAAACCTCTTTCTGAATGACGCATTATGGTAGACAGCAATTAATGATTGTGTTCAGAATATGAATACATCTAACTGTTAAACTATATTAGTTGTAAATGTGCACGATGATTAAAAAAAATCATTAGATCTTTACTGACTGAACTTCTGAGTTATTTTACTCAAAAAAGAAAAATATATATAATTGTGTAATAGCAGATATCAGCCTCATGGGGGCAGTGTGACCAAAGGTACGATATTAGTTGTGAATTGATGGAATGCAAACAACCTTAGTAATTTTTTAAGGCAAACATTACTGGAAAAATTATTTACTTGTAAAGTTCCTTACATTTTTTTATTTAGAATTTTCTATGTTTTATTACTAATACGTTCTTTTTTCTTAAACTTCTGGGCCAGTATTCACAAAGATTTTCAGATTTTTCTCAGAAATCTCCAAATGGCCAAAAAAAATTTAGGTCATGTGATTCAACAAGTTGCTTAGAGCAAAGCTGAATAAGGAGGTAACAGAAACCTTTAAACAGGAGGTGTGGTTGACCCCGTTGCTAGATGTGGCGCTATGCTCTAAGAGCTGGCATTTATCATTAGAGGAAAAAATAAATAAATACAAATTGTCATCAATAAAGAAAAATGAACAATTATGGGATTTGGACTAGATTATGGAATGGGTCTCATGATTATCAAATTTAGCAAAAACAAATAGTTGTCACACAGGATCAAAATGTTGCAAAACCTCATCGCTTTATTTTCCTTATGTTTTCTTTACATGTTTGATTCTCCTATAGGCATTTGATTGTGATAAGCTGCTTGTGTGAAATAGTCTTTATAAACATCTGACACAAAATGTAGGAAAATATGGGGAGAAAACAGAATTAGACAGAAGAGCAGCTCCTCTGAGAGGAATACAGAGGAGCATTAAGAGTAAAATTACTCCTGTGAAAAATGCTTTAATTATGAGCAGATGTGCATCTTTCTCAGAGTTTATTTTGCTGCTTTGACGCTGCAGCCTGAAGAGGTAGAAGTACATGCAGCTTAAAAACCCAGAGATGATATGACAGTAAAAAAGTGAATACTTTCTCACCTTGTTTAAATCTTCCCTATGTGCATATAGAGCGTTTATTGTTGTACTTTATTTCATCTTGCGCATATTTTCTGCAACATTTTACAGTTTTTTTTTTTAAACATTTACTGTATGAAAATATTACGGTCTAAACAATATTACCATCTCCCCTGTGCTGCTTTTATGAGCTCCGATAGCCTAGTGTGAAAAACAGCTGATACCAGGCTGTTCTCTGCATCCGGTCTGTTTCGCTGCCTCGTTTTGAAAGAAAAACATACTTTTTGGGGTATAAAAGCTTGTTTGATTTTTCAATTAGGTCCTCACAAAACAAAGCAGATCCCCGCCCTTTTTTATTTTCCAACCTAAGAAATAAAATATATTCATGTACCCCTTGCAATGCACTCACGGACCACTAGGGGTACGAAAGCCCCGGGTTGGGAATCACTGATCTACATCTTATTTTGAATGTAAGCAAAACATTTTAAAATCTAATGAAAAGTTTATCCTTTTGCACTTTTTTTTGTTTTTTGCATTGGACATAAAATGGCAATACAGCAGGCTGAGGTTTGTTTTCCTGATGTAATGAAATGTTGGGGATGATAAATTCTGTAAGACCTAGTAAGATGTGATGATGCAATTAAAAGGAAATATATTAAACGCATTATTTACAATACTTATTAAACTCTGGAAAATAAAAATAAAATCTAACTCTGCTAGATGGCTCAGATTTAAAATCTGCTAGGGAAAACAAATAAAAAAAAAATCCTACTTTATGCTAATCCGACCCAATGTTTGAATAACATCTGTTTTGTAAAATGCTTATCAGTAACTTATAATACTATAATTATCAAGCACAAAATATTACTCATAATTATTACTCTTAAAGTGTGTAGCTTTCCATTAAATATGAGAGTACCTGAGAAAGATTAACACATGGATAGTCATAGCCATACCAAGGCACCCCCATCACCAACTTCATCGAACTGATCTTCAGATCCAAATAGTCGTCGTAGGCTAAAATGGACAGATAAAAAGTATCCCATTAGTTCCCATTACCAAGCTGAGTGGTTCCCAATCCTAGATGTGCATCTGGACCCAGAGACCTTTAAGAGTTTGATTGAGAGGAGCGTTTGCCATCGCGATGCAATCGCCAGTGATCTGACTCTGCTCATCGTAGGACATCACAAACAGCAGGTCACAGGATTTGGCGATGCTGACGTAATCGTAACAGCGTTTGTCGATACAATTTGGTGACCAGGCAACATCAAATGAAACCTAAAAAATAAAAAATAAAATCAGGAAACAAAATGGAAATGGTTTAAGCATTAATAGTGAATAATTTCTGCAGTCCATTAATGAAGCGTCTTATTCTTTTACCTGAGAACCTGGGATTTCCTTGTGGAAGGCCTCTGTTGTCTCATTGACCAGAGCTGTCAGAGCGTAGTACTCAGGTGAGCCGTCTGCAACAGCTTGCTCAATGTCGATGTTAATCCCATCCATAAACTGCTTCTTTGCCAATCTGACCTGTTCTTTGATCCACGCGGTTCTGTTGGCCTGGTCCACCATGTAGGGAACATGAATGTCACCTATGCGTCCACAACCGAGATAGCAGAAATATCAATAACAGGTTAATAAAACACATTCAAGAAAAAAAAAATGCTCTAACTCTCAATCAAAAATGTGGACTTTCATGGCTTTTTGGCAAACCAATGGGATCCCACCTTTGAGGACAACTCGTGCTCCTTTGGAGTGAGCAAAACACATGAGGTCAGTGTCATACTTCCCAAAGGCTGCCACTGTTGTCACCATGCTCCAGTTGTAGGATTTCCATGTCTTCCCTCCAACATCAAATACAAACACCTGAAAAGCACAACAAGTCTTTACTGGAATGTTTTATGTCTTTTTAAAAAGTGCAAAAATGTAAACGAAAGCATCAATTCACAACAAATGTCATCTAAGGGTAGTTTAATAAAACACACAAAATGGAAAACATTAAACTTTATAAAATAATAATAATAACATTAGAACCACTAAAAAATAGATCCAACTGAAGTTTGAGCCAAACTTTAAGTCATACTGCAAAAACAAGTAGCATATTTTCTTTTGCTTCGGAAAGTTTCTTCTCTTTATTTGATGACACCTTTATGCTATTTCCAAGATCTTTGATGCAAAGTCTGTCCACAGGACAGCCAGTAATTAAGCAAAGCCTTATTAGGTTTTTAAACCTTCTTTTTTGGTTTCAGTGCTGCAGCTAAAGTGAAGCCTGAAGAGCTTTACCCTCCTTGCTCATCATCCAGTCTGTTTTATCATCTGGCAAACTTAGTCTTTTAACAATAAAACAAATCTACTTAATGGTATCATTTGAGGTGTAGTTTTCAAGAAAACATCCTGTATGTCCTCCAATGAAATTTCCTGTATTCTCAGTCCTCTATCACAGACAGATGAAACAAGATTAAACAGAATTTATGGCAGATATTACTAAATTAGGAGGATACAAGAAGAGACTCACATCTGAGACAGTGGAATAGGAAGTAAGGTCTAAAAATTAACATGTTCACACTTTTTTTCCCTATTAGAACTGGAAAATATTGTGATTATATTCCACAGTTTTCCAAAAATAGGCTGCACAGTGGAGAAGTGGGTAGCAAGAGGCTCTGGGTTTGATTCCCGGCCCAGGATCTTTCAGCATGAAGTTTGCATGCTCTCCCTGAGCATGCATGGGTTCTCTCTGGGTACTCCGGCTTCCTCCCACAGTCCAAAAACATGATTTTTAGGTTAATTGGCTTCTCTAAATTCTCCTTAGGTGTGAGTGTGAATGGTTGTTTGTCTCCAAACAACCAGCTCCCATAGACAGCTGCAGATAGGCACCAGCAGCCCTCACACACGGCATGACAGAAAATGGATGGATGGAACCTTAAAGAAACTAAAAGGAATAGACTAAATCCTCAGATCAAACATGACATAAACCACTGACACATGTTGCTGCCATAAAACAGCTGCAAGGCAGATGATTATGCACCCCTGCAATGCAACAGTCTATCTCTCTGAATGGCTAAAATGAGGAACTTAGTTCACCACACCCTGCTGAAACTGACACACAAACATCACTTTAGCAGCTACATTTTTTTTCATAAGATCAGTTTGGGATTTTTAAATGAGGTTTGCCCTCCAAGCTGTACTGTTTCATCCAATCCTACAGGCTTGTGCTGACAGTAATTAACATTCTTAAGGTACAGAACACCTACCAGGCTTTTAATGATATTTATCTCTAAAGCCTTGGGTTTAGGATTGTCTATATTTATTTTATTTTATTATGCTTAACAGACTTGCCTCTGCATTTGTTAAAAAAAAAAAAAAGAAGAAACGTCGCGGTAGATATGGGTATTTACCATGTTGGCAGAGTCTGTGAACACAGGCTAAGAGTAGCCTTACCTCGAACTCTCTCTCCCCCCGAATAGGCTGACAAAGCTCCGGCCTCTCACAGGGACACACATCGTGGCCACTCACCACCAGCAGAACCGACAGAAACACAACGTACAGCAACATTTTGTTGGTCCAAAGCATTTCAGCTGCAGTTTATAGGGAAGCTAGCCGATCATGTGAACTTTTGTACGGGGTGCGAGATAGGACAAAATTACTCCTGTCAATAACAAGGCACTATCTTAAGAAGTGAAATGTGGGATTGTTATATCGATCTGAACATACACAAGCTCTTTATGATGATTGCAATCTATTGATGATACAGTTCAATCGTAAAACAAATATATTGTTTTATTCAGTTCAGTTTATTTCTATAGCCCAAATTCTCAACACATGTCACTTCAAGGCACTTTACAGTTCACCAGATCATACATTCAAATTGACTAAAGTTTTCTATCTAAGGAAAACAAGTTGATTGCATCGACTTGTTGACTCAGATGCAATCCCTCACACTAAGCATGCTTCTAGCGAGAGTGGAGAGGAAAAACTCCCTTTTAACAAAAAGAACCATCCAGCAGAACCAGGCTCAGTGTAAGAGGTCATCTGCCGAGTCCGACTGGGGTTCAAGGAGACATAAGCAGGCTTACAGAAACTGTAAAAGGTGGCCCTATCCAGGAAACACACAGCCAGGCAGATGAGCTCAGAGCCAGCTCCCATGTCAGAGGATGAAGAGAGCACATCCACTCAGTCACAGTCAGAGAAACAGGACCACACTGGAAAAACAGGCCGATCTCCAACATCTATAAACGAAGGTGTTGATGGCAACAGCACAGCTGATATTTCTCTCCAGGGTGGAGTCACAGCCAAACAGGAACAGACGAGGCAAAGCTTGAGAAAAGGCAGAGAGAGCATAATGTTAGAGACTGAACTAACAGATTCTGCAGAGTGAAGAATAGAGATAGAATGAAGCAAAAATGATGAAACAGGGGTCCCTATGTCCTTTAAAAGCCTATAGCAGCATAACTGTAGAGGTAGCACAGGAGCTTATTTCTAGCACTAGTTAACACACAGCTCCACAATAAATGGAAAGGTACCGCTGCCACAATATAAAATGAGATTCAGTGTTGGAGTTAACATACATTTCCCTTGCTGTAGAGTACTGCTCTTCCCCCACCTGCTGCTTAAGGCTATGAGTCAGCTGGTTGAAAGAAGCCCTAACCTCATTCCCCTCGCTTACTGGGGGTATAGTGGATATCTGGGAAGCGTTTTTAAACTGAAAAAAATCTAGTTATAAGGCAGACAGCTGCATGGTAGCCACCTAAGTAGATTATCTATTTCATCTTTTATTACCAGATTGGTTTACCGGTATTGCTCCATAAAGAGCAGAGCTATAACTATAACTATAATGAGTAAAATATCAAGTTTAATTAAAATGTTCTACTTCATTTAATGGGTTAGGGTTATGATGTATTTTTGTTTTTAAAACAAAAAATGACAGATAACAGAATAACAGACTTTAAACATTCTTGCATGTTCAATGATCTGAGGTAAAATTTGAATAGTATTTCCTTTTATGTAAAACATAGGCATATCGTGAAATCATTTTTCTAATCAATGTAATTTCCTCCCTGTAATTTTGGGGATTGGTGGCTTAGTGGTTAGAGTAGCGTGCTTGTGCTCTGAGAAGGTTGCAAGTACCCGGTTCGCTTCCCACAGACTGCACAAAGGGTCAGACTGCAAGACCCTTAATCCCTTATTGCTCCCCAGGGGATGGGTCAAATGCAGAGGTAAATTTCTCCAGTGTGAGATAATTGATGTTCACTTATTATTGTTATTTCTGTGACAGTTGTATACTGTCCATTCATAGTGCTTAGCTTAAGGGTTCATATTTCCTGCCTAAAGAAAATTATAATAAGAGCCAACTCACTTTGAAATCTTTGTATCTCTCTCCTTGAACCCCAGTCAGCCTCGGCAGAAGGCCGCTCACACTGAGCCTGGATCTGTTTGAGGTTTTTTCCTGTTAAAAGGGAGTTTTTCCTCCCCACTGTTGGTATAAACATGTTTGGTGTGAGGGATTGCCTTTGAGTCAATAAGTCGATGCAATCAACTGTTTTTTCTTAGATAGAAAACTTTGAATCGACTTGACTGTATGATCTGGTTGAATTGTAAAGTGCCTTGAGATGACATTTGTTGTGAAATGGAGCTATATAATAAACTGAATTTAATTGAATTGATAAAACATGATGCAATCTAGGATTTAGATCAAAAATAGAGAAAAGTCAATTTTCTCTGGAATCTTTGTTAAATCCACCGTGCATTTATTTTCCTTCACTTTGGTAGTTTGACATATTTAATACATGCAGAAAACAGAACATAATTAAATGTTTGATAGTAATGCATGCACATTGCAAAAGATAAAGATTTAAAATAACTAAAAATATTGGCATAATTAATAATGGGGAAAGAATAGACTCTGAAATGCCTAAAGAAACTTTGAGAGTTAAATCTTTTTGATGGGAAGGGGCATTTTCGTGTTTGTGATCAGGAATCTACTTAACCATTACACAACCTCTCTACTGTCCCCAGGTCATGTTGACTCATGACTCTTTAGAAACAGTAACATTGATTAAATACCAATTGACCTTTGTTTAAATGTTAGATATCAACATATCAACTGATCCAGACCAACTAACTGTCTCCTACTTCACTGTACAGGAAAAAGGTGTAACCCCAAAAAGGGTAGTACATTATTTTATGTAGAGAAATAACCCTTTTTTTAAATTCTTAATACAGATTTTTTATTAGGAATAACCAGATAGAATGATCTTAGTAAAATTAAAGCTATAGTAAAGTGCAATGCTAGCATTTCTGTTTTAATAAGACTATATGAATCTAAATAATCGGCTCTTATATTTATTGAATGGAAATGTTGGCTTAACTTAGCTTAAGTTATAGTTTATTCAAATGTTGTATCAAATAATGCATTTTCCACCTACTCTTTAGGCAGGATGCAAAATATTCAAATAATATCATCCAAAGTTGAATGTAGAATTTTATGACAAGCATGACTGTGGACCGTTGGAGGTGAAACTTTCCATAACAGACTCAATTAAAGAACCTCTTAATTTAAAACTTAACTAGATATTTCTGATTAAGCTTTTGACACCAGAGGTTGATGATATTTTTTAGCAGGAAAAAGCTCATTTTAATTCATTAATACGAATGAGGGCATGGCTTAAATACGTATAACAACAACTTTTCCAGTGTTGTTGAACAGAAAAGTCCAGTACAGCAAGGACTGCTTGACTACAGACGTTTGACTCACTCAATAAGTCGTTTCAGTATTCACCTGCAAGTAGTTGTCGTAGGGTCACTGTTTTATAGCAGTAAAGCAATTTACTTAGGATGGGCACTATAAATATTCACAACAAAAAAAGGGTGGTACAGCATATATGTATACACTTTTTTTTTCATTGCAACAACTTTGAACCGCTGGAGGTTATGCAAACACTTTGGAGTGTTGCAGGTAGAAAAGTAAACAGTTCTTGATTTTAGCTGACAGGGTTGTCAAAGTATTGCAAGGTCAGATCATTGTGACATGGAACTCAATTACCATGTTGAGTCACATACCATTTTTGTTTTTGTCTTAACATTAAATTTTTTTAATTTAATTTTTAAAGACATATAATGTACTTTTGGAATTTCAGATTATAACCTCATGATGTTAGATGCATTAAATACCAGTTTGAGAAATAAAAACACTAAACAAGCATCTCATGCATCATTTTTGTAATATGGTTAAGTGTGCTTAAGGATGTTCAAACAGAGAACTGATGTTATATGCCATTGCCTTTCTTTTACTTAAAAGGCTGGACATTGACTGTATTTGGGATTCTGAATAAGTTCAGTCAATTTCAGGAAATACAGAAGTCAGGTTGAAACAACTTGTTACATCCATGGTGAATAGCCTATTTACTCAGCTCCAACAGGATCGGGTCATGGTAACACCAGCACAAATTTTACCCGACCTTTAGTTAATGTTTCAAAAACTGTGTCGAAAAGCTCTGTCTTTAAAAGGGAGCCTCTAGTTACAGTCATTCACATCCACCAGCCATGAAGGTGCTTGTATTAGCTCTTACTGTGGCCATTGTGGGTGAGGACTGCTTTGTGCACTAAAATCAACTTAGTGTTGGATAAGACTACTAAAATTGGTGAAAGATGTTAACTTATATTTAGTGCTTTAAAAAACTTAAATTGATATTATTCTGTCAGTCTAGAAACACCACTTACAAAGAAGCATATTCCATAAAATATAGAAAGTATAGTGTAAAAAAAAAAAAAAAAAATATATATATATATATATATATATATATATATATATATATATATATATATATATATATATATATATATATATATATATATATATATATATATATATATATATATATATATATATATATATATATATACAGTTAAAATTCCCAATTAATACATTTTTTTCTGTGTTTCAGCTGGCACCCAGGTGAGCTATGGTAAGATGTTTATAATTATATTTAAAAATTCAAAACCCCCAGCACATTCTTAAAACTGTCATGAAGTTGGTGAAACATGGAATCTTTGTTTTTGGTCACAGCCCCAGAATTTGCACCTGGAAAGACTTATGAATACAAGTATGAAGGATATCTTCTGGGTGGCCTGCCTGAGGAGGGCCTGGCAAGAGCTGGGGTGAAAATCCAAAGCAAAATCTTGATTGGTGCAGCAAATCCTGACAGCTACATTCTGAAGGTAAAAAGCATTCCATTGTGATAATGCATGCTTTATTACAAAACCTCAACCATCCAAACATGCCAGACCACAGGAGTAATTGAGGCTTACATTCTCTCTTATACATTGATATTTTTAAGCTTGAGGACCCTGTGATCTCAGAGTACAGTGGCGTCTGGCCCAAGGAGGTTTTCCGCCCTGCCACAAAGCTCAGCTCAGCTCTGTCTGCTCAGCTCTTGACACCAATCAAGTTTGAGTATGCTAATGGTGTCATCGGTAAACTATACGCACCTGCAGGCATCTCTACAAGTGTGCTGAATATCTTCAGGGGAATCCTCAACATTTTTCAGATGAACATCAAAAAGACTCAGAATGTATATGACCTGCAAGAGGTACTGAATCATTTTTCCTTTCATTGCACCTGTTCACTGAAAGTTGCAGTACCTTCTGAAATACTTTTTTTTCTTCCCACTTTTCTTACTGTCTATGTATTAGACTGGAGTGAAAGGTGTGTGTAAAACACACTATGTCCTCAGTGAGGATTCCAAGGCTGACCGTCTCCACTTGACGAAAACCACTGACCTGAATCACTGCACAGAGAGAATCTACAAGGATGTTGGCATTGCTGGTTTTGCAGAGAAATGTTCAGAATGTGTGAATGTGAGTACTATTTCTATTGCCCTCGATACTCTCTGATAAGGCATTAAAATAGTTTGTTTATTGATTTTAAAATGTAATGTCATTACAGCGGGGCAAGGTGTTTTCAGGGGCAATTTCTTCCAACTACATCATGAAGCATTCAGCTTCTGGTTCCTTGATCTTAGAGGCAACCGCTACTGAACTCCTCCAGTACTCACCTCTCAACATAGTGAATGGAGCTGTTCAGATGGAGTCTAAGTATGTGCTGTTAGCTATAGTAAAGCTTGTCTCTATGAGTCAAATGGACAGTTGATTATCAAGCATTAACCTATCTTTACAGGCAGACCTTGACCTTCATTGACATTAAGAAGACATCATTGGAGCCTGTCCAAGCTGATTATATTCCCTGTGGATCATTAAAATATGAGATCGGCACTGAACTCCTCCAGACACCAATTCAGCTTCTGAGAATCACCAATGCTGAGGCTCAGGTACCTAGGGAAATGTTTCCCCACATTTCCTTTTTCTTGATATAATTTTGTACTCATAACATTTTATTGGGCTTTTTATAGATTGTTGAGACTCTGAACAACCTAGTTAGCCTCAATATGGGCCTGGCTCATGAAGATTCCCCCCTGAAGTTCATTGAGCTCATCCAGCTGCTGCGTGTGGCCAGATACGAGAGCATTGAAGCTCTCTGGAGTCAATTTAAATCCAAGAGTGATCATAGGTAAATCCATTTGGACTTGGAAGAACATTAAGGAGCCAAGAGTCAAACACAAATTGTACTGAGGTGTTTTTTGTTTTTTTTTCCCCCCAGACATTGGATGCTGAGCTCTATCCCTGCCATTGGTTCTCATGTTGCTCTTAAATTTATCAAGGACAAGGTTGTGGCTGGTGAACTGACCGCTGCTGAAGCTGCTCAGGCCATCATGTCTGCCACACACTTGGTGGCAGCCGACCCAGAATCCATCAAGCTTCTGGAGGCAAGCTGGCGTTTAAAGGGGTTATTTTTATTTAAATTGGTGTGGGGACAATTCTATACATATGAAGTTTTATGTTTCACCATTCTAGGGTTTGGCCATGACCCCTAGGATTCAAGAAAATGCTGCTTTGCGTGAGATTACCTGGCTGGGCTATGGCACAATGGTTCAGAAATACTGTGTTGAGAAACCTTCCTGTCCATCTGAGCTCGTCAGGGTATGTTTTGTTTGTACATTTCCAAAACTACAGTAAATTTGATACACCTTTGACTTTTATTGGTTTTCTGTCTATCCTGCAGCCTCTCCATGAGCTCATTGCCAGTGCTCTTGAAAAGCGAGACAATAATGAGCTCTCCCTGGCTCTCAAAGTTCTGGGTAATGCAGGACATCCCAGTAGTCTGAAGCCAATCATGAAACTGCTGCCTGGCTTCGGTAGCGCTGCCTCCAATCTTGAGCATAGGGTTCATGTTGATGCTGCTCTGGCACTGAGAAAAATTGCCAAGAGAGAACCCAAGCTGGTGAGGCAGAACATCTGACCAATCTGTTTTAAAATGACTTTTCTTAAGGTGTTTGTGTAGATGGATTAACAGAATTGTTCTTTTTGGATTAGATTCAGGATATGGCTGTTCAGCTCTTCATGGACAGGACTCTGGACCCAGAACTCCGCATGATTGCTGTCATTGTTCTGTTTGATACCAAACTACCCCTGGGTCTGGTAACCACTCTCTCTCAGAGCCTCCAGAAAGAACCAAACCTGCAGGTTGCTAGCTTCGTCTACTCTTACATGAAGGCCTTTACCAAGACCACCACCCCTGACCATTCCGCTGTGTGAGAACCCTGTTAACCATCACCTTGTTGTTATATGAGGGAAATTATCTAAGGTGTGAAATACCTAATATTTTCTCTCTTTACAGAGCTGCTGCCTGCAATGTTGCCATTAGGATTCTTAGCCCCAAATTCGAAAGACTGAGCTATCGCTATAGTCGAGCTTTCCATTATGACTCTTATTACAGTAAGTGTATACCAGAAAATATTTATGCCCTCACAAAGATGTTACCCACTAAGAAGTGAACTAATGATTTTAACCTGCAGATCCTTGGATGCTTGGAGCTGCTGCTAGTGCATTTTACATCAACGATGCCGCAACTGTCTTGCCAAGAAACGTTATGGCTAAAGCTCGCCTTTACCTGTCTGGGGCATCTATTGATGTTCTGGAGGTATGGTGGTCATTTTCTTGATGTATCACTGAAACCAAAAGGATTCAGTTCATACAGCTGAAATTATTTTTGTATCAAAAAATATATATTTAAGAACCGGTTATGAACTGTTTATGATTTAAAAATATTTTAAAATTATATATATTTACAGTTTGGAGCCAGATCTGAGGGAGTACAGGAGGCCCTTTTGAAAGTCCGTGATGTTCCCGAGAGTGCAAGTAGGATCACTAAGATGAAGCAAGCTCTCAAAGCTGTAGGTTTATAAGATATTTAGCTACTAGGGAATCACTGAATTCTCCATACTGGTTAAAAATTATTTATCTTGCAACTTTCTTCCCTCTGCAGCTAACTGAGTGGAGGGCCAATCCTTCCCGCCAACCTCTCGGCTCTCTGTACGTGAAAGTTCTTGGGCAGGAAGTCGCATTTGCAAACATTGACAAAGAAATGATTGAAAAAATGATTGAGGTGGTGTTTCACTCATATTCTTACATACTTGTAAAATCATCTTTACTGCTTCAAACAAAAATTTTGGTCTCATAAGAAATTTTGTTTTTAACAGTTTGCCACTGGACCTGAAATCCGTACATATGGGAAAAAAGCTTTGGATGCTCTGTTGTCTGGTTACTCCCTGAAATACTCAAAACCCATGATGGCCATTGAGGTTCGTCGCATCTTCCCCAGCTCTCTTGGTTTGCCCATGGAGCTTAGTCTCTACACTGCTGCTGTGGCGGCTGCTTCTGTTGAAGGTTAGCCTCATTGTTTCAGTTCAACAATTGGGAGTTAGAGATCAGTCATTTTACAGATTGGATATAATAATTTCTTACTTTTGTAGTACAAGCCACAATTTCACCACCACTTCCTGAAGATTTCCATCCCATCCACCTGCTGAAGTCAGATATTTCCATGAAGGCTTCAGTCGCTCCAAGGTTAACCATCTGTTCTGAATATTAACCTTTGAAAGTAATTGTTTTTTCCAAAATATTCTTTTATATTTCTCTTTTAAAATGTTGTTACTGTTTCTTCCATGCAGTCTTTCTTTGCATACTTATGGCGTTATGGGAGTGAATAGTCCTTTCATTCAGGCTACTGTAATGTCAAGAGGCAAAGTCCACACAGTGATTCCCAAAAAGATGGAGGCAAGATTTGACATGATCAAGGGCTATTATAAATACCAGTTCCTGCCTGTTGAGGGGGTTAAAACAATTGCTTCTGCTCGGTAAATACATTTCTCTTTCCCTTAAAGTAAATAAATGTAGACATTTTCTAATTTGATTTAAATGTATTTATCCTTTCCTTATACAAGTCTTGAAACAGTAGCAATCACAAGAAATGTAGAAGACCTTGCAGCTGCCAAAATCACACCATTGGTTCCATTTGAGCTTCACACAAGCAAGAACACCACCATAAATCTTTCACAATTCTCCAGCAATCTGAATGAGAGCTCAGTAAGTCGGAATCAATGAACCACTTTTAAACACATTTTACCCTGTCCTGGATGATTTGGGGTACTTACTGTTTCTATTTTTCCTATTTTCTTATTTCTTTTTTTTTGCAGTCATCTTCCTCTGAACTTCTTCCTCCCCAGCTGTCAAGTCAAAGTATAAGTCAAATGAAAATCCCCAGAGCTATTGTGAAGAAAATGTGTGCTACAACGTACACATATGGAATTGAAGCATGCGTTGATATTAGGTCTCGCAATGCCACCTTCCTCAGAAACACCCCCATCTATGCCATAGTTGGAAACCACTCTCTTTTGGTTAATGTCACCCCAGGCAAGTAAAACAGATGCACAGTCTTTATTTAAAAAAATAGTATTTTTACTATGTAATCGTCAGCAAGTGTTTTGCCAGGTTCAAACAACCAATATTTTTAATTTATTTGCATTTCAGCTGCTGGGCCATCTATTGAAAGGATTGAAATCGAGGTTCAGTTTGGTGAAAAAGCAGCCGAAAAGATAATTAAAGCGGTTAATCTGAGTGAGGAGGAGGAGGAAACACTTGAAGACAAAAAATTCCTGATGAAGCTAAAGAAGATTCTGGTTCCTGGTCTGAAGAACAGCACAAAATCTTCATCCTCTAGTTCCAGCAGCTCTCGTTCCAGCAGCTCTCGCTCCAGCAGCTCTCGCTCCAGCAGCTCTCGTTCCAGCAGCTCCTCCTCAAGATCTTCCAAGACCTCTTCCAGCTCTTCCTCTTCACGCCGCAAAAGCAAGATGTTGGATCTTGCTGATCCCCTCAACAAAACAGCAAAAAGGTCCTCAAGCAGCTCTTCTAGCCAACGTTTAAGTCAGCGCTCTAGTAGTTCCTCAAGCAGCCACTCGTCTCTCCGATCCAGCATTTCCTCTTCCAGCTCCAGCTCCTCCAGCTCCAGCTCCATGTCCAGGGTAAACCACCTTCACAATTTCTGTTTAAACCTATATAAAATACAATTTTTTTTCTAAAGAAAATGAGGAGAATTTTTATTTACTCACTTTTGTGTTATAGCGGGAACTATTTCAAATGAACTTCACCAAGGATCACATTCACCAGGTAACATTAAATTACCGTTCATCATTTATTTACTCCATTACGGAAAGGGATTTTCCTCTAATTATCCCCTTCCCAAGTTAATTTGAGAAGATAAAGCATAAAACGTAAAAACAGGCCCACCTTACAATCTTTATGAGCTGGGTAAATTGGAAGTTTTGTCCTTGCAGCATTCCATCTCAGCTGAGCGTCTCAACAGCAGGAGCAGTGCCAGCAGCTTTGAATCCATCTACAACAAGGTAAGCTGTCAAATCAGCCTGTTTGAAGTCCTGCACATCCAAATAATTAAAAAAATTTAAGAAAAAATTAAACTACTTTACACATCTTCTTTGTACTTGCAGGCCAGATACCTGTCGAACAGTGTCGGGCCAGCAGTCACAGTCCTTGTCCGTGCCATCAGAGCTGACAATAAGAACCAGGGATATCAGATCGCTGCTTACTTTGACAGACCTACAGCCAGAGTGCAGCTCATTGTGGCCAACCTAACTGAAAATGACAACTGGAGAATCTGTGCTGACAGTGTGATGCTCAGCCACCACAAAGTGATGGTACTCTTTTGTTATTACTTATAATTTAAAACACATGCTAGTTTAGTGTTTCCAGCCAGTTTGTTTGAAGTGAAGAACTCGAACCTCTGCAGCTCACTAGTCATATTCTTTGCTCTCACCTGATGCATTTTATACGGTCAATTGTCTACCATCCTCTTTGCTGTAAAATGGCACAAATTTGTGACTTTTGAAAAAACAATGCGTTGTTCTGCAATATGACTTGTCAAAGTTATATTTTTGAACTGCAAAGCCAGCCAGCGCAGTTATGTAAATTATCTGAGCTAAAGAAGGAAAAATCCTGCTTTTTGAGCCCTTTTTTCCACTTTACAAACAACAAAAAAAAAAAATCCAAAACAATGATTTTTCAAAAACAGAGGTTTATCTGTACATGTATCAAATGGACCTCTGATAATATGCTTTACTGATGATGGGGATGCTGTTCTCAAGAAGAACTATTTCAATCTTCAACAATTAATAGATTAACTTTTTGCCCAGACTCGAGTAACTTGGGGAATTGAATGCAAGCAGTACAACACCACTATCACAGCTGAAACTGGCCGTGTTGAGAAGGAGCCTGCAGTCCGTTTGAAGCTGGCCTGGGTCAGACTCCCTAGCTACTGGAAGAAATATGCAGGAAGGTAATATCACAAACGAAAAGAAGTCACCCCTCTGAGTGGGAATGAATAATTTGACTAGTTCAATATGCTTCACGAGGGTTTTAACACTCTTTTGTCTGTTCAGAGTTTCTACTTACCTTTCCCGAGTTGCTGTGGAAAATGGAGTGAACAGGACCAAGGTCTCCAATGACCCCAAAGAGATCAAACTGACAGTTGCCGTTGCCAATGAGACTAGTCTGAATGTTACGCTGAAGACCCCAAAGGTGCAGCATTTTTAATATCTTTTTATTAGTGGAAAAACCATATTAAAATTGCATGTACAAGATTGTTTGCCTTGTCTTTTGAAAATACAGAACACCTTTTACAAACTGGGATGGAGTCTCCCCTTTTACCTGCCAATCAATAACACTGCTGCTGAGCTGCAGGCATACCAGGGCAACTGGATGGATCAAGTCACCTACGTGCTCACCAAGTCTAATGCAGGTAAAAAATTATTTAATACCTAAATAGGTTAAATAGTTCAAGGTATCCATATTCAAGTGAAAGAGAATATACCAGAAGGGTCTTGGTGGTCATTTGGCTAAAACAGGCTGTTAGATGTTTGTTATAATTGAAGAAACTGACATTTTGTATTTTTTTGGAAATTTTAATTGTCACTAAAAATAAAACAAAATGATTAAATAAATAAAAAAAACAGTTATATTATGGAAGGTAAAAAAAAGCCCAACCTATCACTGTTTTCCCACAACAGCTTTCAAGTCGCAAACTAGTTTACAAGCATTTGAATTATTTATGATTTAAAACTATATCAATTTATACCAGGAGGTTAACATGTATTTTTTTTCCATCTTTCAATTCAGCTCAGTGCACCGTTGTTAATGACACAGTGGTCACCTTCAACAACAGGAAGTATAAGACGGAGATGCCCCACTCTTGCCATCAGGTGCTGGCTCAAGATTGCACATCTGAAATCAAATTCATAGTTCTGCTGAAGAGGGATCAAACCACAGAACGTAACGAGATCAGTGTCAAGATTGAAAACATGTAAGGGTAACTTTATATACATGGTATCTGTGCAATATAACTAAAGTTCTTTTTGCAGAAAAAAAAAACTAAAATATATTTAAATGTTTTTTAAACAGTGATGTTGACATGCATCCCGAGAACAACACAATTGTGGTGAAGGTTAACGGAGTAGAAATCCCTCTCAACAAACTGCCATATCAGCATCCAACTGGTGAGATGATACGCTGTTTTATTTTTTACCAAGGCATGCTGGGTCTGCAGACATCAACCATTTACTTAAATGTTTTATTTCTATAACAGGCAGCATACAGATCAGAGTGAGAGAAGAGGGCGTCTCTCTGCATGCTCCCAATCATGGTCTTCAGGAAGTCTTCCTTAGCTTGAATAAAGTGCAGGTGATGCAACCGATCTGGTAAACTTAGATATTCATCAAATCCTGTGTTGATGGTAATATAATGGTGATTCCAATCTTTGTTTTTCTTCTCTATAGGTTAAAGTTGTGGACTGGATGAGAGGCCAAACCTGTGGACTCTGTGGAAAGGCTGACGGTGAAGTCAGGCAGGAGTACAGCACTCCGAATGAACGGGTTTCCAGGAATGCAACCAGCTTTGCTCATTCCTGGGTTCTGCCTGCAAAGAGCTGCCGTGACACTTCTGGTAAAACTTGTTTAGATTTTTGTAACTTAAAAAAAATGATAACATGCTCAAAACAGCCTTTTTGTTCTGTACAAAATGAAATACATTTGTCAAATCTTTTTTCCCCAGAGTGTTACATGCAGCTTGAATCAGTGAAGCTGGAGAAACAGGTCAGACTGGAAGGTGAGGAATCAAAATGCTACTCTGTTGAACCTGTCCTCCGCTGTCTACCAGGCTGCATGCCAGTGAGAACCGCCCCAGTTACTGTCGGCTACCACTGCGTCCCTCTGGGTGAGCAGCTAACAAGAACACAGTTATTAAACCTCTTCTCTAAGTTTGCTGAAATCCTAACTGCTTTGCTTTCTTCACTGTCGCAGATTCAAACCTGAATCGTTCCGATGGCCTCAACAGCATCTACGAGAAGAGCATTGATGTGAGTGAGACAGCAGAGTCTCACCTGGCCTGTCGCTGCACTCCTCAGTGTGCCTGATTGTGCTGCCTTCTGACATTCCTTCTGTTTTTTGTGTTATGAATGCTTGTAAACTAAATTAAAAAAGCAATAAAATGAACAAGCAACTAAAATGAAATGAACTATGTGGTGAACTGCAATGACCCTAACAAGCTATTCATTTTTGAATATGTACTTCATTTTTACTATATCCGTATTGTTAAACAGTATTTATAATATGAGGAAGAAGAATTTTAAGTCACACAGTTCGAATGCGATTTATTTAGAAAATCTATGACAATAAAGTAAAAAAAAAAAAAGTAAAAACTGAAATACAGACATCATGGGAACAGCTACAACAGGTAAAATGGCACAGGGAAAAAGTATTGAACACGTGATGAAAGGGAGGTGTCAGGTTTAGAGGAGGTTTTGATTACCCAAATGCAGAGAGGAGTAGGCAGGGATAAGTTTGGATGTTTTAATGAAAGTCCAAGGGAAACAGAGGCAAAAATCCAAAATACAAAAATACTGAAAACCAAACAAAACCAATGAACGTCAGGAAAAATACTCGAGGGAAGCAAGAGACTAGGAAGCAACTAAACAGCTACAACACACAAGAAACCAGCCCTAAATGAAGGCTCTGGTGCTCTTTTAAGCCCAGCAGTATGATTATAAAGATTTCTTTCACCTGTGTAGGCTACCCAACCTATCCACAAAGATCGTCTATTGTAGAGATGCACAACTCACACTAACCCACACACAGGAACCCTGACAGGAGGTACAAAAAGGCTCGGAAAGCCAAGATATAAGCCGAAAACTCTGTAATTAGAAAGCAATCCTGCCCCTCATCACTATCCCCTCATCAGTGCAAATTAATATCAGCTGGTTCAGTCAAAAATTATGGCCTGTTAAACGGTTTCTTTGGTATCATACAAGAAACATCTCATGATGGGTAAAAGTAAAGAGCTTTCTCCAAGACCTTCGCAACCTTAATGATAGCAATGGTTACAAAAGGATTTCTGAATGTCCCAGTGAGCACTGTATGGGCTATAATCTAGAAGTGGAAAGATTATATTTTCACTAACTGACCTCCAGGATTTCTGTCAGAGGAGTGAAAATAATTATCAGAAGAGTTGTCCAAGAGGCAAAGACCACTTGTGGAGTGCTTCAGAAAGATATGGAACTAGCAGGTACAATTGTGTCAAAGAAAACTTTAAGCAATGCATTCAACCGCCATGTCCTGTATGCATGCTCACCATGCAGGACTCCATTATGCTACGTTCAGACCGCAGCAGAGGCAGCAGAAGCAGCTAGTTTATATGCAAAGTTAATGGTTGACTTGCATCAAGGCACAGAAAAAGGTCCTGCAGCATATTATGAGCAGCAGGAGCAGCACGTCAGCTGAAGCAGCACCTCATGAGCTTCTGAGCATCTGGCACGTGGGACTTTTGCTGCTCGATGCGCCACATCAACCAATCAGAGAAGCTGATCTGGGAGCTGGCAAGAAGACAAAGACAGCACTGCTGATGCAGATCGTGGTACTACCCTAGCTCAGGGGGCAGGAACAATGATGGGGAGACCATACAAAAGAAAGGTTTAACCATTTATTAAAGTAAATAAACGTGTTAGTGTAGGTCAGTGGTGTATGTAATGTTGGGATGCATGAGGAGTGTGAAAGTGTACATGGATCAAATTAAACTAAAACTGGAGCAGGAGGCCAGAGGAGGCCAGAGGAGTCCATGGAGCGCAGAGAGAGCAAGCCATGTGCTCTGGTCCAATTTATAGGAGGCCACTGCACTCTCAGGTCCTTCGCCCACTTCCTGGAAGCACAAACCAGAGAAGCAGTCTCTCCACAATAAAGGAGGCCTTGGTCGTCACAATCGCTATCATCACTTTTCTGAAACAGTTTAATAACGCCTAAATTACCTTAAAATGTCGTAACCTGCGGACAAAATATGTCCGATTTTATTATTCTGGTGCCTGAAGTTTGAATTATGTACATGAAAAACTCCTTCCAGCCGCCGAGAACATTAGTGGAAAACCCGAATGAGATGACTGGGCCAGCGGCTGCTTTTGAGGTGGACTTTCTCACTTTAAAACATATTAAAACTACTTTTTACCCAGTTATAACAGTAAATATTACAAAGATGCTCTTTGCCATTTAACACAGAAGCAGCAGAGGCATCAGACACATCTGGATGCCCCTCACTGGACACGCCACAGAAGCATCAAAGAGGCTATTGACATGTGTCTGACCTTAATGTGAACAAGCATCGAAAATTAAGCAGCAGAAGCTTTTTTGCTGCTTCCAGCGCTCTGAATGTAGCATTACCCACTTCCACCAAAGCAACACTTTCTTTCTTTAGTCTAGAAATTGTCTCCCATTAGTCAGACCCTCAGATTCCTTCTCACCTTCACAGTCAAACAGTGTCACACTATTCTTGTCGGGACTTTCCATTGACTTTCATTCATTTTACATTAATTCCTGTGACTCAGTCCTCACTTTTACCCTAACCCTAATCACTACAACACATAGCTATCCCTAAATCTAACCTAACTTAATTCAATTCAATTTCAATTCAGTTTATTTCTATAGCGCCAAATTCACAACACGTCATCTCAAGGTACTTTACAGTTCAACCAGATCATACAGTCAAATTGATACCAAGTTTTCTATCTAAGGAAAACCAGTTGATTGCATTGACTCATTGACTCAAATACAATCCCTCACACTAAGCATGCTTGTAGCGACAGTGGAGAGGAAAAACTCCCTTTTAACAAGAAGAAAGCTCCAGCAGAACCAGGCTCAGTGTGAGCGGCCATCTGCTGAGGCCGACTGGGGTTCAAGGAGACAGAAGCAGAGACACAAAAGCAGCTGTAAAAGGTGGCCCCGTCCAGGAAACACACAGCCAGGCAGACGAGCTCCGAGCCAGCTCCCATGTCAGAGGACGAAGAGAGCACATCCACTCAGTCACGGTCAGAGAAACAGGACCACACTGGAAAACAGGCCGATCTCCAGCATCTATAAACAAGGGTGTTGATGGAAGCAGCACAGCTGATGTTTCTTTCCAGGATGGCGTCACAGCCAAACAGGAACAGACGAGGCAAAGCTACTCTGAGGAAAAGCAGAGAGAGCAGAACGTTAGAGATTGAACTAACAGATTCTGCAGAATAGGAGAATAGAGAGAGAATGAAGCAGAATGATGAAATGGGGGTCCCTATGTCTTCCAGAAGTCTAAGCCTATAGCAGCATAACTATAGAGATAGCTCAGGATAACCTGAGCCACTCTAACTATAAGCTTTATAAAAAAGGAAAGTTTTAAGCCTAGCCTTAAAATTCACAACTTAGTCCTAAATCAAAAAATAATACCAAGATTTTTTTACTTTCTCATCTGAGATCAATTTAATCCCATCCAAATGAAGTGACTGACTAATCTGCTTCTTTTGAAAGCCTCCAAAAACACTAATTTCTGTTTTTTTCTGCATTCTGAAGCAGAAGTTAAAGGGCTATCTAGGTTTTTTATGGCTTCAAGGCATGCATGTAATCCATGAAATGGGTTAGCTTCATCTGGATTTATAGACAGATATAGGTGAGTATCATCAGCATAACAGTGGAAATGAATCCAATACTGTCTAATAATTCTACCGATTGGGAGCATACATATACTAAAGAGAATCCGTCCTAGCAGTTTTATGGTTTTCCCCTTTTGGACTTATGTCAGCAATTCTATTTTTTTTGTTTAATCTTTGGATTATTTTCCATTTTGTGTTATATTTAAGCAGTCTTTAGTTACCCTCTGTTGCCCCCTTGTGTCTTTTCCATTACCCTAGCTCCCTTCTAGCCATTTCCATCCACATCTGATCCATATCACCTGATTGCCCCAGTCTTTGTTCTGTTTCCAATATATAATATCTGTTTCCTCTCTCTGTGCAGTTATTCAGTGCTGGTTCCATCTTTTTTCTTTACTCCCGTGTGTTTTCCATGATGTAACAGGATTGTTGGTTCTAAGTATTTTGTTTTTGGTCTTTGCTTCTGTTGCCTTTGGATTTTGATTAAACCTACAAGAACTCATCTCTGCCTGCCTCATCTCTGCATTTGTGTCCTCAACCAACCTCCACCCTAACGTTGACAAGCAGTGATTCCTGTGGTACTCCACAGGCAACCCTGGAGTATGAAAAAGATTTATTATTAATGTGAAGAAACTGAAATCGGTCAGACAGATACGATTTAAACCAGTCTAGTGCTGTTCCATTAATTCCAATAAAATATTCAAGTCTTTCTAAAAGAATATTTTGATCAACTGTGTCAAATGCAGCACTGAGATCTTACAGGACCAGTATAGATACAAGACCATTATCTAAGACACAAGAATATCATAAGTGACTTTCACTAGAGCTGTTCCAGTGCTATGATGAGCTCTAAAGCCAGACTGAAACTCTTCAAAAAGTTAATTACAGTTTAAGTGGTCGCACACTTCTTTAGCAACTTCTTTCTCAATAATTTTAGATAACAAAGGAAGATTTGATATAGGTCTATAATTGACCAAGTCATCTGGGTCATGAGACTGTTTCTTATGTAAAGGTTTAATTACAGCTACCTTAAAATTCTTTGGTACATATACATGTAACAGGGATAGATTGATCACATCTAAAATTGAGGACATCACAGGGAATTCTTCCTTAAATAACCGGGTTGGAACCGGATCTAACATCTAAGTTGAAAGCTTAGATGAAGACAATAGTTTTGCTAACTCTGAAAACTCAACTGGATCAAAGCAGTGTAAACCCTGTTCAGATTCTGTGTTGAGAGCTGGAGAAGTTCCACCTTCCTCCAGCAGAGTCCGCCGTGGATCCTCCTGAGCTGAGCTGCCTGCACACCTGTGACTGATCATCTCATCAGGAGGACCACAGTACTTAAGCTGTCTTCAGACCTTGCCTCGACGCCGCAGTGTTTAATCAGTTTGGTTAGCACCTAAGCCTAGAACCTCCTGAGAACTTTGCTATCTCTGAGTCCAGTTTGGATTCTAACCTTTTTGTCTCTGCTTCCAGGTTACCTGTTTTTCTCCTGTGAAGCTCTGGAAGAGCTTAACCTGCCGAGCCTGCCCTCTGAGCCAAACCTG